TCACCCTTGCAGCGCTTGGAGGTTTCGTCAAGCTGCAGATTTGCTTAGGAGACTGCGCTCTGCAAGGCCGTGCCATCCGCTGTGTGTGTCGTAACGGGGGACGTGGGGGCACCCTGGGCTCGCACAGGCTTCCCCGCCCCTCTGCGAGCGCTGCCCAAGCCTGGCCCCTGTGTCCACCAGAACTGATCCGAAAGTGACACTCCAGTGAGAGCTGGCTTAAACTACAATGGGAGTTTGTCGACTTTTATAATTGGAAGGCCCAGGGTTCGAGCTGGCCCTAGACGTGCTGAGGGCAGGGGTCCAAGTTCCCCAGCTCTCAGCTCTGCTTTTCTTCCTGTTGACTTTCTTCTCAGGCCGCTCGGTGGCAGGGTGGCTGCCAGCATCCTCTGAGACGCAAGTCCGCTGGAAAGAGCCTCTTTCCTAGAAGCTTCCTCCGAGTTTGCTGGGATTCACGCTCACCAATCTACGCTTGAATCGAGCCATCATTGCCACGCACAGGACACCAGGCGCTGGCTGTCTCAGGCCCGAGTCATGTGGCTCGCCGCTGGACCAGGGTTTTGGAGGCACAGCCAGAACACACGGGCAATGGATGTGGGAAAGACGAGCCCTTCCAACCCCAGATGGACCCGCTACAGGGACGGGATGCTAGAAAGGCAGTCCACAGACGTCTTCTCCGCCTCGGGGGAGCGTCTTGAAAATGCCCAGAAGGAACCAGATGGAATAGATTGTGTGGCTAAGGGCCAACCCATCCCCAAGACAGGGAAAAACGCACCCCACAGTTCTTAAGAAAATAGATCACGTAATGACAAGGTGCCACATGCGGGGAGGAGCCACTTCTGTTTCCAGGAACCAGGGAAACTCATTTTTTTTTTGCTAGAAGACTTCTCAGAAAGAGAGTGACAGAGTGTGGCTTCTGAATGGCAGGTCTTGCGACACTGCTTCCTCATTGTCCTTCACTTCTGACCCCTTCCTTCAGATCTGCTTTGCTGGACTACAGGTTTCCGCTGGTTGTAAAGGAAATACCTGATTTCCTGGTAGGATCATTCAGATGCATCCTGTAGTATAACAGAAAACAACGCTAATGCACTTAGTTAAACCAGATGGCGGAGGCAGGTGTGTGTGTGCGCGCGTGCGCGCGCGCAGGCTGTTTGATTTTCACAGTAGGAAGTCCCAGAAGCGAGGCAGGCAAGAGCTGACATGGTGACTCAACAATGCTGTCAGGGATGCAGGCTATTTGTACGTTCCAGTCCCTAATCCTTAGCATATGGACCTTTGTTCTCAGGTTAGGCCACTCCTGCTGCAAGATGGCGGTCGGGAAGGAGGGAGCCAGGGCTCTGGTTTTTAAATGTGAGGTCTTGCCTTTTTATGTGAAAAGCGTTAAATATATATATGTGTATATGACTGATTTTAGAGAGGGAGGAAGAGAGAGAGACATAGAGAAAGAGACACAGAGAGAGAGAAGCAGCGGCCGCTTGCTTCCTGTGCCCCGGTGACAGGGATGGACTGCAGCCCTTTGGTGTGTGGACGACACCCCAATCCACTGAGCTCCGCGGCCAGGGCTTACATAGTAAGTTTTTAAAAGAATAAAAGCACGACTCTTATCCAATTATAAAATGAATGTGTCAAAGTTTATTTCCCACGGTAATTAACAAGGAAATCAATAAGATGTTAAAACCAAATCAAAAGAGAATCGCGGCGCTTCCAGGCACAGTTAGTTGAGTTTCTATGGACAACAGCCAATTGCGTGACTATCAATCTTTCCTACAACTTACAAAATTGTAAAACAGTTCAAAGACAATGAATGATGGCGATGACGCCTAAGCCGGGACACCCAGGGTTCTTTCTGTTGTCCCTTTGAAAACCCTTCACAGTGCCTCCTGATGGAAAGCATCAGACTGCATCCCTTAGCTACCTTTGCTGCAAGGGATGCTGGGAAATTCGGTCTCTTTTGCTGGACACCTGCCGTCTCAAGTGCAACGGGATTCTGTTGGTAAGGAAGTCTGCCTCCCCTGTACGCCCACCTGATGTGTTAAGGGCACTAGATTATTTACTAATTTTTTAAAAGTTTATTGTATTTTACTCCATTACCATTTATCTTCCTTATTCCTTCTCCCCCCTCCGCTGCCCCCCACCATTTAATAATCTTAGCCCATGTGAGCATGCGGATGGCTGGAGTAGACATTTGCTGTCTCTGGTACATTAGTATCCCTTCCTCCTCTGGTCGTGCTGCCTCAAGTGTCCTTTGAGCTGTCCCCTATCCCCACTCTCCAAACCCAGTTGCAAAGGCGGGCTCTCCACTCAGGTCTTGTCTAGTTATGGTGATCGATTTAGGGACGGACAAGACTAGAGCCAGGCCGGTCAGATTCAGCATTGGGATGTTAGTTGGGACAAAACTATAATTTATACTAGAAAATTAGTGATACTTAAGTCTGAAAGATATTGTCCATTCTCTGACAATGCTTGGTGTACAAGTGGATTCTCTGTTCTTGGCAATAACTCAGCTGCCTCTCAAAGAGTCTGGCTTCCTGGTGAGAAACCCGCATGATGCCTCCTTAGTACATTGTTCCCCCTTTAGAGCCAGGGAGCTGCCGGGCTGTGGCGGGTGTTCGGGAGCGCGGTCTGGGTGTGAATGCCACAGTGTCCCGCCGAGGCTGTGCAGAAAACAGAGCCCCGGGGAAGCATGGAAAGCAGAGAAGTTCACTCAGGGGAATGAGAAACTAAACAGGAGCAGCTGAGGCAGCTCAGGGATTAGGAGCAGCAAGCAGCCATCACCGCCCCTAGGCTATAGACAGAGAGGGCGCTGTGTTACAGGAATGCCCCACCGATGCGAAGAGAACCCGCTCCTTACTGCAAGCCACGCTGTGTGAAAGGGTGGGTGGGTGGGAGAGGGGCAGCTCCCGCGGCTGCCTCCGTTGGCCGAACCCAGCCGGATGGAAGCTCTGGAACAAGGAAGCCTGGGAATACAGTCTATACCCACCGGCGCCCTCTTCCCTGCAAAGCAGAGTAGGACAAGAGTTAGGAATGGAATTGAAGACATTGGGTCTACCATGCGGGACCGGCCACCTCTCCCTGTGTCATCGCATCTACAGTGACACTGATGATAAGATGCGCCCTTATATTGTACACCACTAAGAAAGAAAAATCCTTGGCCTGGTAGCTCAGTTGGTTAGAGCATCGTCCCAATATGCCAAGGGTTGCGGGTTTGGTATTTCTCTCTCTCTCCTCCTCTCAAATCAATCAATAAATATTTTTTAAAAAGAAAGAAAAACGCTGCCAGTTGATGATACAATGCTCAGGTTCCATCCATTGCGATGCATTTGGTTTTGAGAGATATTAAAATATGAAAAATGTGTATCTTAAAATCAATTGAACACACTATTATCAGTGTGATCTTAAATATATGTGAACTTAATTCATCTCCACCTTCGGGCTTCGAGTTTTTAAAAACATTATTTTATTTATTTATTTTTTATTTAATCTTTATTGTGTATTTTCCCATTACCATTTAGTCCCCTTATAAACCACTTTCCCGTAGCAATGGGCTTTGATTTTACAATATAGAAATTAGAGATAGTAATACCTAGCTTATATCAGCAACCATGTGTAAAACTGTTTAATGATAGGAAGTACTTTGTCTCTTGGTCACTGGATGCCTGGTGCCTAGCACAGTGTCAGAGCACAGTGGGAACCCAAGAAAGTTTTGTGGAATGAATCACCCTGGACTCTGTACCCCCAAAAGAGCAGGTTCTTGGCACATCGTGGGAGGTGGGTGTCAATAAATGGAAGCTATACCCTGGCTGGTGTTGCTCAGTGGTTTGAGCGCTGGCCTGTGAACTGAAAGATCATCCTTGGATTCCCAGTCAGGGCATACGCCTGGGTTGCAGGCCAGGTCCCCTGTTGGGGGTGAGCAATTGATGTTTCTCTCCCTCCCCTTCTCCCGCATTTCCCCTCTCTCTAAAACTAAATAAAAATCTTTTAAAAAATAAGTGGAAGCTATTATTATTGGAGTTGGAAACTATTATTGGAATCAAACGTGTGCTTGGGAACAAGATCTTCTTTCAAAGATGTCACCTACTAGGGACTCTTTGGTGAGGAGGAAAAGGACTCTTACCAAAGAAAGATACCAGAGTGGAGGTCACAGTCTGGTGGAAGACATTATGCCAGACGGAGTCATGAGCAAACAGAGTAAGTTCTGAGCAAAAAAATTTAAGGAGGTGGTGGTGGCAGTCGCGAATGTAGTTGGCAGTGAAGGAGGGGAATGGTGGAGGATTAAGGAAAACAAAAAAGAACGCCCCCCACTCCCTGCCCTGAACACATTTCTGTCCAAATCTTTCCCTAATCGTCACAGCCCTACAAATGTTGTAGTGTTGCTCCCACATCATGAATGGGACTTAGGAGCAAAACTAACACACCCGAGTGTGGGTCCGTCTCCTAGGCTTCACTGCCCTGCACGGAAGCCCTGGGTTGAGATCAGTTCCAAAGTACAACACATGCAAGGACAGATGAACACGGAGAAGGTGATGAAAATGTCGTGAGGGTGGTGAGATTGTGGGAGACGAGAAAAACCTAAATAGCGCTGGCATTATCTTTTTAAGAGTAACTCTGTTAATGTAGGAACAGGGTTGAACGACACGAAACGCTTTTTCCAGCCGCGATCTCCCCGCGGGTGTCTGACTGATCCATCGGGCTTGAGATCAGTCAGGACTCCGGGATACACCCCAGACTCCGGGACAGAGCTCCTGGCTCATTATCCTGGGGTCCCAGCAGATTCCGACGCACGTTTCCGCGGTTCCAATCAGCCCCACCTCGGCGCGCTCAAAACCGCCCGCCACCCGACTTCTCCCGCGGTTAACGAGCACCGCCTACTGGCCGTCAGACTCTTTGCCGTTTGGCCCCGCCCCCGAACGGACGCGCATGCTCCCCATTTCCTCTCCGCCTACCTGGCTTCTCGCGACAGCCACCCAGCGGCGGTCTGAGTCTCGCGATAAAGGCTCATTGTCTCGCGGGACCGCGCCGGCAGACGGGCTCTCGGGTGGCCCTTGCCGGAGAAGAGGAGTTGCATGTGTCGCTTGAGCTGGCGGTAGTGGCGGGAGCGGAGGCGTCGGCGGCTGTACGACCGCCTGGGTAACGACCCCTCGCGCTTTTCCCGCTTCGGAGAAATTTGTGTAGATAACGTGGGGAGAGCCGAGGTGCTGCCCGGCGGAAGGGGGCCGGGCCGGGCGTCACCACATCCCCGCCCACATGGGCCCCGCAGGTGCCCCCGGCTTTGCCCCTTCGCGTCGGACCTCCCCTCTCACACCGGGGCCGCTCTTGCCACCCCCGTGCCACGACTTCTTGCCCCTTCCCGGCTCTCCTGCCCCAGCTTCTCTGCCGAGACTCGGCGCCCCCGGCCCATCCCGCTGCCATCCCCTTTCCTGACCCTGCCCTCCGGGCCTCCGGCGGCCCACCCCTTCTTGGTCGGTTCTTTTCCTCCACCTGTTTTGTGGCTTTTCTCTCCTGCTGCAGTGTGCACCCCTCCATACCGCCCCAGACCTCTTGCCTTGTCCCCGCCGAAGTTGTCCTCCCCATCCTTCTCCCCCATTAGTTCCTCTTTTGCTAGCGCCCCCCGCGCCCGTTCACCCGCCTCCCTGTAGACCTGATCCAGGGTGTGGCCTCAGTCGCTCCTGTGTTGTAGATCCTCCCGGCGGCTTGTATCCCTCACTTCACCACCGAGGGGAAGCCGACTTGGGTCGGGGGTGGGGGGGGGCTGGAGGGGAGGAGGCGAGAGCGGCCCCGAATGGTGCTTCCCGGGCCTCTTGGTCCGGAGCGGTGAAGCGGTGACCCTTTTCCCTGCCCGCAGGTGTGTGAGATGGCCGCTGACATTTCCGAAGCCGGGGGGCAGGACTGCAAAGGCGACACCAGGAGCAACACCAAGTTAGACGCAGATTACCCGCTGCGAGTCCTTTACTGCGGAGGCAAGTGGTGCAGGGCGCGAGTGGCCTTTTCCTCACTGTGTCCCTGTGCCTTGCGATAAAGGTTCCGCGCTGGGTCCTCGCGAGCCGTTTTCAGCTGGCTGTCACTTGGTGGGTCCTTCCCTGGGGAGGGGGCGATGGGCGAAGAGGCTTGCTGCTTGTCCGGGAGAAGCTCAGGGTCCAGTGGAAGAGAGATGGGCAAATAGGTGTCTCGGCCCACGGCCGCGGGCTGGTCCGGCTGTTGAAGGAGGGCTTCTTAGAAGACAGTCGCGGGGTCTTGAGGCGTGACAAGAAGCGTGGAAGAGAAGCCCGGGCGTGTCTGGAGACGGCGCAGCTTTGTGTTGACGTATTTAACTTTTGGCCGGTCCCCACGTCTGCATTAGCACATTGTGCTAGAATTTCCTCTAGGACAGGGCGGGCGTCCCCGATGGGCAGTGGGACAGTCTTGGGAAAGCGTTCTTGGTTTGATTAAAAACATGCAAGAGTAGCTTGAATCAGCATTTTATAAAACCCTTTGACTATTTTCTCTTGTTTTTGCTACAGAACATTTGTGAAGTGTAAATGCTCTTATTTTCTTAGCGCCCCAGAAAGTTTCAGGAAACTTTGAAGGTACAAGAGAGTAAGTGAGGAAGGAAATATTAATTTTTTTAAGTGAGTGTTTTTGACCACTTAGGTGCCCAGCAATATTTTCGGCACTGGGGACTCCTCAGGAAACAGGTCAGCGAGGGCCTTGTTCTCGGGACCGCGCATTCTTGTGCGTGGACTGGAGACCTCACCTGGAGACCAGGTGCTGTGCAAGCAGAGGCCATGCGCTGAGCTCAGCAGTCGTAGCGGCACGTCCTTTATCCAGGACTTTTGATATTAAAAATAGTATCAGATACCTCAGCGAGAGAGTGAGCAGGGGAGCTCTTCATAGGGTTGATTGAGTCCTGTAGCAGTATGGGTTCTCTTTGGTTGTATCGTTTGCCTTGGGGGTCACACACCAGCGTCACCAGCCACAGAGCCCTGGGCACGTGACCTAATTCACTGAGGGCTGGAGGTGCGCTTGTTGAGGTCTGTGAAGCGAAGCGGGTGCGGGCCTCTCAAGTCGGATGGCTGTGCAGTATGAAGCTTCTGGTGCAGCGGCTAACACAAGAGCATAGTGCAACAAGTGCTAACTATTACTGTTATTATTAGAAAAGTATCCTAGTGTAGTGAAGAGCGGTGTCCTGCTTCATCAAATCTGAGACTGCGTATTTTATAAGATGTACCATTATTTTAGGTTCCACTGAGAAAGAAAAAATGGTCAGATTGACATAACGTAATTACAAGGTCATCCCTATAAAAATGGAAAAAACACCCACAGAAATCCTTAGAACTGGATTTATGAACTGGACTTAGAAATATGGTGTATGAAAGCCACCCTGTTCAGGGGCCTGTGTCTCTCCTGAAGCGGCTTTTGAACAACTGCAGTAGATAGGCCATCTGCCTCATGATTATTTCTGTTGAGAAAAGTTTATTTTCCTTTCACTCCCTAGCTTGGTTCACTGTGCCGTCCACTGGGATGGGAGGACAGTGCTACTTTTTCCTTGAGGGCATTAAGGTCCAGTTGTAGCAAGTGTTTAAGGAATGTTAAATGTTAAATGAGTTGGTACTGACTAGAACTGTGACTTCGGAGCTCAGGAAAGGGAGGGATCTCTGTTCAGAGGGAAGCAGGGAAATTTCCAAAGAAGCGGGAAACCCTAGGGAACAGGTAGACCTTGCAGGGAAAGGTGTAGGACTTCGTAAGGGTGATACGGTGGCGAGAGGTGGTACGGTGTCCGCGGGGGAGAGGCTGGTCGGAGCAGGGCGCTGGCGCGAGCCCGGGAGAGACGAGGGCGGCGAGGCGGGCGTGCCCCCGGGAGGACGGCTGCCTTTAGCTTTGAGACTTCCGACCGAAGTCATTCTGAGTAGGGTCCTGGCTTGGCCATTTACTCCTTGTGTGGCCTCGGCCAATCCCCGCATTTATGAAATGGGTAGCCGCAGAGGCTCCTTCAGAGGGCTGCTGCGAAGGGTGAGGGAGCACGACGCTCCCGGAGGCGCCCCCTCCTCGTGCCGCCCCGTCGGGCAGAGGGCCTCCGGGTGGGACTTCGGAGGGGCCCGACGTTCAGACTAGAGCAGGGCGTTTCACGGGTGATGGGCACTTTGTTCTTCGCGCTGTGTTACAGCAGCAGGACATACTGTCAGGCGCCCCACTTCGTGATGTGAGGTCGCAAGGTGGCCGTGAGATCTTTGCCTTGAACAGCTAGTTTACAAATAGTAAGTGATCTGTGGCAGAAAATTGATTTTAAAAGCAAATAACAGTGAACTCAGAAGACTTGTCCAGGTTTTTTCACTGTGTTAAAATGTCCTGAACTGAGCATAGTTTGAAATGGTGGGCCGAGTTTTAAAGCTTTAGTTAATTTGCTATAATGATACTTAACTTGTAATTATATACTGCAAGTATGGCTGAATATTTGTTCCTACTAGTATTTGAACTTGAACTGTGAGGGTGCCTAACCAGGGAGAGCTTCGGTAAACTGGAGCTGCAGAGACACCTGTTTTCTTCTGCCACATACCACCACGGTCATCGGATGAGCTGCTCAGCCTCTTTTATTGGGCTTCCTCTTTAACACGAGGAGGCGGATCACTGTCGCCGGGCGGGCACACGGCTGCGGCCGGTGTGTGCCGTGTGCTCTGTGGCAGTGGTGAGGGGCGTGAGCCTCAGAAGCAGGCCCGGCTTCAGGTCCTGCTCTGCTAAGCAGGGGCGAGGGGCTTACTTACTCTAAGTCTCACTTTTTCCCCCTGTATCTGACAGATATGACACTTCCTAGCTTTGTAGGGTTGTGATGACGAAACATAATCACGGATAATAAAAAGCACAGCAAAGTGCCTGACGTAATAGGTGCCCAGCACACGGGGACCGCTGCGGTTGGTAGGGTGTGCCTGCCTCGCCCTCGCACGCTTCAGGGTGCTGGGCCCGCCGACCTCCACGCTTCGCCTGCGAAATAAAGGCGAACGAAGCAGTTGACGCAGTGATGGAATTACTGTTAACATTGGGGACCATTCGAGTCCTCTGGTCCGTTAGCCCGTGTGAGCCAGACAATGACAAGGTTGAGACAGCATCCCTTCCGGCTTTGCAGTTTCTTCATCTTATGTAGCATCATAGGAAAAAGAAAAGGAAAAGTGTATTGCCAAGAAATGGTAGCTGAGTGCTACTGAAGTTTACAAATGTGTTGGTATGAATAAAAAGTAGTGGCTTTTTTGACAAAGCTGTTAAATACCCGGCTCCATTCAGGTGGTTATTTAGGGAGACGTTCCCATTTTCGCTTAGTGTCAGACCCGCCGAAGCGGTGGCCGTGAAACGTGAAGGCGGGCGGGCGAGGCCGGGGCCGGACGTTCACCGACTCCAGGGGGCGCTCCTCCTAGATCAGAGAGACTGGGTCTCCATTAAGCACGCGCGTTCTACCTTAGAAAGGTGGGCTCGATGGGTGGCATCTGAAAAGTACAGAAAAAGTGCAGGAAAAAGTAGAAATGAGGCATTTTATCAAGTTTAAAGTGAAAGTCATGATGAGTGCTGTATGTGTATATGTATATATATTTAAATTTCTTAATTTTTTTTTCTCTCCATTTCCCCAGTCTGTTCATTACCAACAGAGGTAAGTTCTTTAAACATTCTTTAACTTCTGCATTTGAGGTCGTTGATTTTATGGCTAGCTTGAGAACTTATTTTTCATTTTTTTTTTAAAGATTGTATTTATTTATCTTTAGAAAGAGAGGAGGGAGGGAGAAGGAGGAGAGAAACATCCATGTGAGAGAGAAACATGGATCAGTTGCTGTGCACGCCCCCAACCAGGGGCCTGGCCCGCAACCCAGGCGTGTGCCCTGACCAGGAATTGAACCAGCAGCCTCGGTTGACAGGCCGACGCTCAGTCCACTGAGCCATGCCAACCAGGGCTTATTTTTCATTTTCTATCATTTGATACTAGATTTTCAATCTTTATAGAGAAATTGGGTTTAGAATATTTTTATGGTCTTACAGTTTTGTTTTCTTTAGATTTTGAGTCTTACTTGTACACCTTTTGGACTTGTCTCTCCAGTTTGGATTTTTATAGGGAACTCATGAGTAGTCAGTCAGCTAATAAAACAAAGAGTAACGCTAAAGCTGAAATGTAGCATGCAAGCAGGGGAACACAGGCGTTATGTGTGAGACTTTTGGTAATGAGCTGCTCAGTCAGGCTCTGGGCAGGCCATGAAAGTAATGAGACACCATGTGCCCAGAGCAGGAAGCAGACGTGCTTGTTTCTGAGCGTTCATTCCCTTTTCTCGTGGCCCTTCTGTTTGACGGAGAAGGAACAGATCACAGCCGCGAGGCAGTGCCTCGTCCCTTTCAGTTTCTTGCTCCTTCGGGGGCCTTCCCTGGTGAATACAGGTTTCTGGAGATGAGACGGCAGGCGAGAGTAGCTGGTTTTATTCTTCATGTAGCAAGTACAGGGAATGATTTTAGATGAAAATATATTGGTTGACTGAAAATGTTTTGTTGTAACTCACCTTGTTCTTTGTCTCCCCCAGTACTGTGAATATATGCCTGATGTTGCTAAATGTAGACAGTGGTTAGAGAAGAACTTTCCCAATGAGTTTGCAAAACTCACTGTAGGTATGAACTTTTTTTCTTTCATTAAAGCTTACATACCTGAGACAAATGCACATACGGTGGGGCGGGACCCCTCAGGCCTGGTGTCACAGGCGGTCTGCGTGGGCGGCCCTGGGAGGCCTGCCCGGGGCGGATGTGACCTGAGGAGCGGGCGGGCGCCCTTCTGATCGGACGGGCTTCCCATTAGCGAGACGGGCCTGTTTAGGTGCCCGGCACTCCTGCGGGGTTCTGCGTGTTCCGTGCTCCTTCCATGTGGCTAAAACATTGTCAGCACATATCGAAGACTTTGTTTTGTCTTCTGTCACCATACACTTACCATGCGGATTTCAGGATTAGATTTGATAGCAATCTAGCATTATAATCCTGTGCTTTGTAAATGCCACGCTCAGTTGTTGGTAAAATTACCTACGTGTGTGGTTGCTCAAAGGCGATTTCTTTTAACATCAGTAGGAAGTGATGTTAATGTTTTGGATTTCGTTTTTACATCTAGAAAACTCACCCAAACAAGAAGCTGGAATTAGTGAAGGTCAAGGAACAGCAGGGGAAGAGGAAGAGAAGAAAAAACAAAAGAGAGGTGAGGCCTAAATCCGTGATTGGAGGGACACGAACCCACTCCCCTTAGCCAGAAGAAGCCAGTCATGAAGGCCTTTCCAGAGCGCGGCCGCCGCCCGTTCCCGCGGGTCCACGTGTGGCCACTGGGGGCAGAGTCGCGCTGTCCGCCGTGTGGCAGTGTTTGGGCTCCGGCGGTAAAGCAGACCTGAGGACACAGGCTGTCTTTGCCATGTGCCCGTAGTCGGCAGCCAGCCAACTCGCTGATGATTTGAAAACTTTGTATAAAATTTTTCTCATTACTTCTGACAGCTCGGTTGAATTTCTTACTGGTGTTGCATATGCCTGTCTGTCTGTCCTAAGAGTAAGTCCTTCTGCTCTGGATCCTGTCCCTGCCTGTTTCTTCTTCCTTCCTTCTCCCCTGTGACCCCAATTAGTCTGTAAGTATTTTCAGGACTTTCATCTTTTAAAAAATGTCCCTGGAGCCCGTGTCTTCCTTTGCCTTATCCCTCTGCTTCGCCTCTTGGCCAGGCCTCTTCAACAGGACGAGGCGCACACTCCTCGCTGTTCTGCCGCCGCGCTCCCTGCCCAGCCTGTCCTGTCCTGACTTTCGTGCCACTGGACGCCCTCGGGTAGGGTCCCCAGAGGCCGGGTGATTGCTCAGCTCAGAAGGAGAGCGTTTGAGCACTCCCCTCTCGAGGTGTTGTACTTGCTTGGTTCTGTGACATTCTTTTTCATTCTGTCACTTCTCCCCAGTCTGCCCTGCAGACTTCTCATCGCCCTCCTGTCTCTCGGGAATGGGTGTTTCCCCGGACGCTGCCCCCTGGCTGTGCCTTTCCGCACCTTCTCCTTGGGTGCTCGTTGTCCAGGCTGGGAACCGCCGCCACCCCTCGCTGCCCGCGTCTCTGGGCCGGAAGTGGGCGTGGTGCCGCAGGGGCCGCCCTCCCAAAGCCACGCCTTCCGTTTTCTCTGTTTGGGTCGATGACGGCACAGGTCAGCCCGTCTTCTGAGCCAGGAATCTGCGGCCTGTCTTAGGGTCTCTTTTTGTCCCTTTTAGTGGGTTCTAAGTTCTGTTACTTTGCTTGCTTACTTACACTCCGTTCTGTACCGAGAGCTGCCATTGGGATAGCTTAGATTTCGATCGTTTCTGCCTGGGCTCATGCAGGAGCCCCTCAGTGCCTGTCCGCCCTGCTGCCCGCAGACCCGCCCTCCGCACTGTAGGGCGGCCCCGATGAGACGTCATCCGGTGACTTCATTCCTGCTCCGTCATTCAGGGGCATGTCTCCGCATCCCTGTAAAGTCGAACAGCAGAGCTTGGTGTGCTCTTCCTTTCACGGCTGGTATGGGGTCCTGCGTTTTTCTGGCTTCCTCTGCTGCGTATCCGTAAGCGTCCTTTATCAAGACGGGTGCAGTTCTCACATACAGTGCCTTTTCTCATGCCTGCACTTGCTCCCTTTTCCTGGAACGTCCTTTCTTAAACTTAAACTCCTCCAGCCTGGACAGCCCCTTACCCCGAGGGAGCTCCAGTGCGGCTTCTGCCGGGAAGCCCGTTCGGCCCTTGAGGGGCGGAGCGGGCCGTCCCCCGCGACGTGCCGCGGTCTGGCGTCCTGTGCCGGCGGCCCCCGAGGGCCGTGGCGGCTCGGCTCTCTGGGTCTCGCTTCGCTGGCCGAGGGTCCTCGGAGCGCAGGGGCTGTGTGTCGTTCGTCCCATGTCCTCAGCTCGGCGTTTGGCGTGCGTCACATTCTTACTGAAAGGAGACTCATGCATGTGTTCGTTAGTTTTGCATTAGGGAAAGATACTTTAGGAATTTCTAATGGGTGCTTTTCGAAAACAACGGGTGTAGAGACCGCACTCTCTGACTAGACTACAGGGGAGACACTAAAGCTGCGCTCTCTCTTCATAAATCAAGGTGGAAGGGGTCAAATAAAACAAAAAAAGAAGACTGTGCCGCAGAAGGTTACAATAGCCAAAATTCCCAGAGCAAAGAAGAAATACGTAACAAGGGTGTGTGGCCTTGCAACTTTTGGTGAGTTTAATCTTAAGTATGTTTAAAATGTGTGAAGTATATGTATTTTTTTCTCTCTCTTTAAAAATATGGTATGAACATTTCACAGGTCTCTTTTTAGCTTCAAAATCAAATTTTGAAGAAATGTTACTATTTTTTGCAGAGGGGAATGTTTAACTTTTTCCTTTCCAGAATTTCTGCACAGACACAGTTTATGTAGAATGAGGAGGGTGAGAAAGGGTCCCCTTGGAGGCCCCCCAGGGCCGCGGCCCTGGCCCGGCAGGCCTGCAGGCAGAGGGCGCGTGCGGCTCGCCCCGCAGGGACTGACGGCGGAGGGGGAGGGGAGGCGGGCGGCGCGGCGCAGGCTTGCTCAGCGCCCGTCGGCGCCTGGGCCTTGCCCGAATTGTGGAAGTGGGTGGAATTGTGGACCGCGGTCCCTTGGTGGGACAGCACAGACTGCAAAGCAGTCACCGGGCCACATGATAGATACTGGGTTTGTTTCTCTGCTGTAAGGTTTTTTTGTTTTTTGTTTTGTTTTTAAGGGGTAAACAAAAGAACTTCATTGTACTCAGAAGAGCGTATGTAATGGAATTGTGTTACTGGATTTATTTTGGTTTTACTCTATGAGTCATGAATACTGTGGGTCATGCTTTTTTTATGTACTGCAGTTTTATTTGACTTTGAACCTTTGAATTTGTAAGACCTCTGTGTGTAGTAGTAGCTATTGCTCTGAAAGGAATATGAGACCCATTAGCGCGATCTGTCTTAAGGATTTAAAATGCAGGTCAAATTTCAAAATGGAAAGCTGTCTTTGACATACAATTCTAATTACAGTCTTGCTGTTTTTTCCTTAAAATAACAGAAATTGATCTGAAAGAAGCACAAAGATTTTTTGCTCAAAAGTTCTCCTGTGGCGCCTCAGTGACAGGGGAGGACGAGATCATCATTCAGGGAGACTTCACGGACGACATCATCGACGTCATTCAGGAGAAGTGGCCAGAGGTGCGTATGTGGGCTGTATCCATCCACAGGGAGAAGTTTTCAAAGCTGGTTGCTTCCCTGTTATTTGATACCACAACTCATAAAATGTAATTATTCGTGTTTTATAGGTGGATGATGATAGCATTGAAGATCTTGGCGAAGTGAAGAAGTGATTTTGAAAATTTGTCTGTATTTAATGGTCTGAACTGAGAGTTGATACAGCCAAAGGGGGAGAGGCCTTTTGAAAAAAAAAAAAATTATTTATCCTACAGTCAAACTGTAGGCTCCCCTCGCCCCGGCGTCTTCACTGTTCTGTGCGAGGCTGCTTGTTTTTTTTATTGCCAAAGTCTAATTAACAGGGGAGACTGTCATGCTTATGCATGAAATAGAATTTAGTCAAATAAAACTTTTTGGTCACTTGGTACTGACTTCTCTTTCTCTCTTTTAAACTTTTTATTTTTGGAAAAACACTGTAGACTTTTTGTGGGAAGTTTATCTGTTTTTTCTTAATGGTCATGATTTAATCAAATCATGATTCAAAACTGAATAATGTTTTAAAGAACTTTAATTTGGCTTCATCACCAGTAATAACTATCTCCTTGCTTCTTTGGTGTGTTAGTTGTGAGATGCTTGAGCATCTGATAGATTTGTGGGTGAATTGGCTTCATTGTTACCAACCAAGTCCACTATGTGGGCACATCTGCATCCTGTTGGTAGGAGCTGTTCAAGCTATTCTGGATGTTATTTGGTGAAGTATATTAAAAGCCTTAACACCATCTGCACTGTTTGACCCCTTAAGCCACTTCTTCGACATTACCCTAAAGATGTAAGTTTTGTGTTCATCACGATGTTGCTCATCAAAAAAATTGCAAATGATATAAATGAACAGTCGGGAGATGGTTAAAGAAACAATGGCGCCTTATGTGGCAGAATATCATGCATTGTTCTGAGTGGAAGGCCACTCACAGAGGCTGAGTTCTGGTTCTGGCCATGCATTATGATGTGAAATTCTGCTAACCAGTTGCAGGTATTACAAACCCACGCTCAATATATTGTCTGGGAAATAGCAATTGAAACATGTTTTCCTCACAAGAGAAACTGATCATTTTACTGAACGCACTAAATGAATTTAAACTTTGTTTTTATAAAGGTCTTAAGTCAGGTGCTGCAAACTGAAAAGAAGACTCACGGTGTCTCAAGCACTCCAGATGCCTGCGGAAGTTTAGAACCTGTTGGTGGTTGCCATTGCAAATTACAATCTGGAATGAATGTTTTTTTAAATAATTAAAATCTTAGAATGTGTAGTAAAGATGTAAATTTTAAAGAAATTCTGCATTAACTGTGAATTTTACTAAATATTATTATCTGATAAAGCAAATGTATCCATCGAGACCATTTGGTACGTGTTACGTATGCTGTTGGTGCTGGGAGATGCCTGTGTGCCTGTATCGACACATGGGACTTCATGTAAAGATTCTTAATGTTCGCAGTTCTGGGCAAATGCAGTTTCAATCCATAAATAGCCCCCAGTGGGTGTCACTGCAGAAAAATGCAGGATTAAATCGTCCTTGTGTATAACACGTGTGAATCTCTTTTCTTTGACCTGAATTTAAATTGCAGCGTAGTTTAATCTCTTATTAAAATGTACTAACGGAACAAGGATTGACTTTAATTCATACATTCTTTTTATGTGTGTTTTATGGAATGTTTTGACAGTTTAGTATTTTTAGCAAAAAGAATACTAATCCTTAAACAGCCTAATCTCATAATATGTGTAAGAGATTTGCCATGACTAAGAGGGCAACTTCATATATAAATACAGTTTGGTATGTAGTTTTTATTCATTAAAGAAATAGGTGCTGATAGTGATTTTAAATATCTTTTTAGTTATTACATAGAAGCCTCAGTAAATCAGCTGTTGCTTATGATGTAAGGAGTAAATCCATGGTAGCTTTCTCACTTTTAGTTAAAAATTACTATAGATAATTCTACCTTTTAGATCCTATCTTAGTTTTTTTTTAACAAACCTATTTACTAGATTACTTAGGAAATAGGTAAGAATAAGTCTGTTTAGCTCATGAGTTTGAATTAGACTGTAAAATCAGATGCAGCATTTACAGCTTTCAGAAAACATATCATTGAAAAGTTTTGTTTTCTCTTTAAACATTTTGTTTTCAAGAAAACCTGTGGGAATGAACTTAAAATGCTGAGATTGTTGATCTGCAGCCAGTCATAACACTCCTCTCGTCGTGCAACTAACCTTCACCCGCCATCAAGTCCATAAAGTGAACCTCATTTCTTACTGTCTGTGCTCATGCTCTTACGGCGAGTGTTTGGCATGTGGTTGCCCAGTGAACGGTGGCATTTCGGGGCCTCCTAAAAACAAAAAAACAACTCTTACGATGGTGAAATTTGAAAAACATTTGGATTAAAATGTTCCCGAAATGGAAAACTGACATTCAACCGCATTTTTTTCATCTCATTCCACCACCAAGCCGTACTGCGTAGTCACCTACTGATAGGCTCTTTTGAACAACTGGTCAGCGTCTTCTTTCCTGATTTTAAATTCTAAGACATGGTCTTGTTCGTTCTCCTAAACACGAGCCTATCCTAAGGACACAAGTGTCACCCAAATCGGTAAAGCTTGAGAGCGAGGAACTGTAATTTTGTTTGTCCATTTTCAGATTTTATAAACACAAGGGCATGTTTTGCTAATTCATAGTCTCAAAAGTAAAGTTCGAACACTTGTAAGGCTATTCAGTAACCTGTCCTGCCGGCAATGCCACCGTATTGGTTAAGCAATAGGGGGTGGGGACCAGGATTTAAATGTATTATTTTTTCATAGCTCAGTTCCTACCTGGCACCAAGAGGAAAAGTGCCAGGGGCGGCGGGCGAGGAGGTCCTGTGAAACAAAGGAAAAAAACAGGTTCAACCCAGAATGTAAACTTTGTCAGGATAAAGTTGCAAAATTCTCATTGCTATTCAAGAGCTACATCAAGAGTCCAAACAAAAAATTTTTTTTCTTTTTATCTGCGGCTGTTCGTTTAACGCTGACTGCCAGGCTGGTGTCTGCCTCCGCCCATTTTTTTGTTTGAGTGGCAGGTACCGTTTTCAGTGCCAGGTACGCACAGCAGCTGAACTGGCCGAGCGCACCGTTCAGCAGGGCAAGAGGGAAACAAGTGGGCATCCCCAGTATCATAGCCCAGGGTGATGGGAGCAGAAACAGCCTTTATTTGCGCCATCATTTACTGGGAAGTTGTAAAGAACAGGTTTATGTTGACGGATGGTGAGTAATGGGTTGCACATTCTCAGCAAAACCACGAGCCCCAGGCCCGGATTTGGAAGCACGAAACCTCGGGAGAACGGTGTGCACCGCGCCGCACGAGGTCGGCGGGGAGCCAGCTTCCCGCGTTGGGTCACGTGGCCGCCGCGGTCTCGCGAGAGCGGTCTGGCTCACCCCTGGGGACGCCGCGGGCGGGGGCGCGGGGGCGCGCGCTCCGTTGGGCGGGCGGTTTGGGTGGGCTCGCTCGGGCCGGGCCGAGGGCGCGGGGCGTAGGGCTCCGGGTTTCCCCGCCGCTCCGGGCAGGCGCGCCTATGGCGTTTCTAAGGTGACGCTGCGCACAGCGCCTCTCTCCGGGCGCGGAGGAAACACCCATGAACCCCTCGGCGACCTTCTTCGCCGTGCGACAGGTGAGCGGCGACCAGGGTGCTACCCCCGGCCGCTGCGTGCAAGTTTGGCCGAACCTGGGTGGTTTTTAAGGTCCGGTTCTCGCTTCAAATTTAAAATAGTACCCAGGTCGTCGAGGAAAAACGGAGCGTCACGTCCGTTTCCTTCCTTGTCCTAAAAGAAACTCGTTATCCAGCCAGATGCTGAGACCAGTAGCGAGGCCAGGTGCTCGCTTCTTAACGACCCGCAGCGCGCATTGGAGAAACTGCTGTTCACGGCGCCGCGCTTGCGGCCCCTAATTTACTCCTCGGGAACCCCGTTTTACAAAAAAAGCCTCGAAAGGGAACTTGCCCAAGGTTTGCATTGAGTGGTGTACGATGAGATGAACTTTTTTGTATACTTGGCCTATTGCCTCTTTTCCCATCCTAGAATATTTTGAACATACACTCCTTGCTGTGTCCCCAGGAAACATTTGGTGAAGGAAGGAGTGAACGAATGAATGAAGAGGCTCCCAAAGACTGGAATTCAAGTCTTGTGACTTGGAACCCCTTGACTCGCAGTCCCATTTTCTGTGTTTAGTTTCTAGCAACTGTGATTTGTCGTCGTTATTTACAAATCGTATTTTTCAGAAAGCCAGAATGATGTGATATACTTGAGCTTCTGGTAAACTTTTCACTCCCATCTTTAAGATAGAATTCTCAAAGTAAAAGGTTTAATTCTCTATGTCATTGAGAGGGACAGTACCATAATTCGAAATGTAACTTACTATCTTCCAAATAGCCAGCATTTGTTGGCTGCCTGCAAAGTACCAAGTAGTGTTAAGTGCTTTGCAGAGCTTGCCTTGTGTAGCTCTTAAGAAGTCACAGTGCTGTTATTGCCATTTTCCAGGTGAGGACACTAAGACTTAAAGTTAAGTAACTTGCCTGGGTTACACAGAGCCACCAAGTGGCTAATTCTGGAGTCCCCACTTGATCAGGCCAAGTTTCCGGCACTGGACTTCAAAATAATGTGCACTTACTAGGGGATGACTGTAGATCCTTTTGGTAGATGTGGTAGTGGCATCATGGTTATATGAAGATGTTCATTTTTAGAGGTGCACATTGAAGTGTGTAGGAGTGATAAGTATTTTTTTATCAGCAACAACAAGAAAAAATATTGAAACAGAGGTGGCAAAATCTCAATAATGGCAGGACCTGGGTTCTGAGCACATGGGAGCTAATTGTGCTGTTCTCTGTCTTCTGTGTACGTTTGAAAATTTCCCTTTACCAAGTTTGCTTTTTTAGTAGGTATGTTCAGTTTGGACCAGCCCCGATACGAAATTGTCCTTGGTAGACTGAGCGTGTGTAGATGTGTTAGATGCAGTGGGAATTAGTTACATTTAACCAGTAATTATTTTCCGTTTCTCTGGTTGCTCCGGAACTGCCAGGCAAGGGGAGGGGCGATACCGCTGGTCAGTACGAGGGGAGTGCTGACCGCTGCGAAACGGAATGCCGAGATGGTTCGTTCGTAATCGGCCAGCGGAGGTTTGACAGACGGTCCCACGTTTTGAGTGGCGTGCGTGGGGTGACGGAATTATAGAAGTGCACAGCAGGTGTGGACTTGTAGATATATATGATTTCGATGCCACGTTATAACCAGAGAATAAAACTTAGTTAATTAAAACTACCTGGAGTTGGCAGCAGAAGAAGATATAATTAGGCTGATTTATGTTGTTGATTAGTTTTTTTCTGATGCGAAACCACTTTCTGTGATTAGAACATCGGGTCAGAAGTTGAGGTTTCCACGATCGAGAAACAACGTAAAGAGCTGCAGCTGCTCATTGGAGAACTGAAGGATCGCGACAAAGAGCTCAACGAAATGGTGGCAGTCCATCAGAGGCAACTTCTTTCATGGGAAGAGGATCGGCAGAAAGTGTTGACTTTGGAAGAGCGTTGCAGTAAACTAGAAGGTCAGAAATGCGCTCGGCGACACCGATGATGCCCGTCTCTAGGCCGACAATTACTAAAAGGCCTCGCAGGGACGACAGGGAAGGCAGGTCCCGGTGCAGGACCTGCTGTGCCGGAGCCTAGTTTCACTGAAGGTAGAAGACTCACGATAAACAGTCGCAGTCAGACAAACACAGCGCGAGCTAAAGTGGGGTGGACACAGCTCTTCAGGGCGGAGAGCGTTGGGCGGCGCCCCAGGTCCCTTGCAGTGGTACGAGTGAATCTTGAGGAAAGCAATTTTGAGCTGGAATATGAATAGAGATGCCATAGGACCAGCCATTTTTCTTGAACTGACTCAAAGATTTTAAACTTTCAACACTGCATTTGATCTGAATTTCCTAAAATGGTCGCCTTTTACGACGAGAGCGGTCTCAGGCGCGGCTGGCAAGCATTTTTGTGTGCCCCGTCTTTTAACTGTCGCCCCGTTAGTGCTGCCCTGAAGTCTGGATGTGCGGTCGATTGGCACTACGGGAGCACTAGGCTGTATCAGGGGAAAACCCTAGATCTGCTTAGTAGAAAAATAACCACGTGGAGCCTTCTTCTTTTACTTACATCACACAAAGCGTCCTGCAAATACAACGATCCGAATATGCGTAATTTTCCCATGTCTTCGGGGGCTGTCAGATTCTCCTCTGACCCCCCTCCCCCCACATATTCCTACATAAACACACTTGTTTACTACGGTTGCACAATAGATGTAATATAATATGTTAAATCTTTGATATAAACATGCTCAAGAACAAAGATAACATTATATATAGTCATCAGTGTCTGATTTTTAAAATGAGTAAGAAACTTCAATAGGTATTTCATGGAAAACCGAATGGCCAATAAATACATAAAAAGGTTCTCATTCTCATTAGTAATTAGGGAAATAAAAATTAAAACCCTAATGAGATGCCATTTTACACTCACCAGGCGGCAAAAAATGACTAGGTATCGGTAAGAGCGTGAAGCCAAGGGATGGCTTCTTCGCTGCTGGTGAGGGTGTCTGTCGGTGCAGCTGCTTTGGAAAATCGCTAGACAGTATCTAGCGAAGCGGGTGACACACGCGGCACACGGCCCAGCGGTTCCACTCTAGTGCGTGCGCGAGTCGCCGGAGGGTCTTGTTAACACATAGATTCTGCTACTATAGTATTGGGCCCAAGAGCCCGCATTTCTAACAAGTTTCCAAGTGGTGCCAATGCTGCTGGTCCAAGGACCACGTTTGAGTAACAAGGCTCTAGAGCAACTCTTGCAAACGTGCATCCGGATGCACGTGCGGGGCCCTTCAGAGCAGAGGTCTCACTATTGCCGCAAAGCGGAAACCGCCCAAGTGACCACTGGGAGGGTGGATAAGTTGGGGTGTAACCCTACAGTGGGATATTAGGTAGCAATGACAGCAAACATGCACGGGTCACAGACAACATGGATAAATCCCAGAAAAGCAAACAGAAGAATTCACAGAGTATAATTTTATTCATGTGGGGCTCACATTAAACTATTCAGGGTGGGGCAAAAGTAGGTTTATAATTGTATCCACTTTCGAATACAATAATGAATAAGTAATAATACAAGAATAGACTCGGTGTTAGGGATGTGGTTATAGGTGGTAAAGCTATATAATAAAGAGCAAGGAAATGATTAAGATCAGATGGTGGTTGGGAAGGAACGTTCAAGGGTACAGGATCATGCATTCATAATAAAAACTTTTAAAAGGGGAATTATCTTGTAAAAAATTCTTTAGCACACTTTTTAACCATGTGTTGGAAAATAATGCACTTGAAGCTTCAGATCTGACCACGCACGGCCTTTCCCTCAGGTGAGCTGCATAAGAGAACAGAAATAATCAGGTCGCTGACAAAGAAGGTGAAGGCCCTGGAAGCCAGTCAGCTGGAGCGCCAGAGCGCTCTTCAGAAGACTCAGCTGCAACTGCAGGAAACGGCGCAGAAGGCCGCCCATTCCTCTCTCCTCTCTGAAGACCTCGAGGTTGGTTTTATTTTGTGATAAGCCTCACTGGCCCACATTCTGTTTGTGTTTTAGTTATTGAAAATGTAAATGTAAGTGCTACCATTAAAATGCATATGCGTATGTGTGAAAGTATATCCACCCAGCCCTGGCTGGTGTGGCGCAGTGGGTTGGAGCATCATCCTGTAAACCAATAGGTCACAGGTTCAGTTCCCGGTTGGGACACATGCCTGGGTTCTGGGTTTGGTCCCCGGTTGGGCTTTGTGCGAGAAACAACCTATTGATGTTTCTCTCTCACATGGATGTTTCTCTCCCCTTCTTTTTCTCCCTCCCTTCCTCTCTCTCTCTAAAAATAGCGAAAGAAAGAAGGAAAGAAGACATACCCATCCACCACACAGTCTTGTGTTCACTGTGCTGCTCTGGTTAGCTGCTGTCTGAGGCGTGAAGCCGAAGCCTCATTACAGCCCTTTTCTAACCGTCAGGCCATTTGGTTTAGTAGCATCTGTCGTTTATCAACAAGGCGTCATTTTGTAAAGCCTTTCTCAAAGTCTGAGAGCAATAGCATCAGGTTTTGGTCCCTTCTACTTATGTGTCCTAAAGAACTGTGTCTTATCTGATACGATGAACAGATATCTAGCCCATGTTAGTGGCGTATCGGGAATAAAATCTGTAAGACTGGCTTTTCAGTTTTCCGTTGTAACCAGTCAGCCGTCAGACATGAGAGACACAGGCAGGAAGCCATTTTTTTCTCTTCTTCATGTTCTTATTTCATAGCGATATTCAGTACAGATCTTGGCAATATAATGAGTCTTAATAATTCATAATAATAATATTGGTTTTATCTTATGCTTTTTTCTTTTATTTTTTAAAATTGCTAGAGAGTTACTAGCAATAAACTAAGCAAAAACTATTCTAGAGTCTATTGATATGTTCAATAAAAAAGGGGAAGTATTTCCCTCAGCTCAGGCAGCCATAACAAAAGTATTTCAGTTCAGTCCACAGCAGGAAGATTTTTTTAAATTCTTAAACCAGTTTTTAGAGCAGCTTTAGGTTCACAGCGAAAAGGAAGTGGGACTTCCAGATACTTCTCATAGACCCCCTGCCCCCACCCTCCCTCAGAACGGACATGCTGCACCACAGCAGTGCGCCCGTGACAGGTAGTCTGCATGGGCTGGTCGCTGTCACCGACAGCCCGTAGGTGACATTAGGGTTTTTCTCGGTGCCGCAGAGAAAAGCCTCACCCCCGGGAAGCCTGCTGCGCTCTGTCCCTCCCTCCCGCCCGCAGCCCCGGCAACTGCTGGTCTTTTTCCTGCCTCCATCGCTTTGCCTTTTCCAGAATCTTATATAGTTAGAATTACACAGCGAGAATTGCAGCCTCTTCAGATTGGTATCTTTCACTTAGTAATATGCACTTACATTTCCTCCGTGAAGATATCTTTTTAAAAGCCTGATTATTCTTTTTTCCCTAACCAATAAATACATCAAGTACACAATAATTATATCAGTTACAGTTCTGTGGTTAAAAAAAAAATCTGCTAAAGGCAATACCCCCGTGCAAAAGTTCCTTCAACACGGAGTTAAAAAAAAGCACAGAAGTTCACTAATTATTTTAGCAAAGGAAATTTCACTTTTCATTCATTCATTCGTTTTCCCCTTTCTTGCCAATTTAGAATTATACCTAAAAGACATTAGGAAGTAGGCGTGTTTATAAACATTACCAACCTAATCCAGTAGAGCAAACACTAGTATTGAGAGGGTGCTAAAGGTAATAGAGAAATAGCTATTAATATTCCTTCTTAAATTTTTTTTAGATTTTTATTTTAGAGAGAGGGGAAGGGAGGGAGGAGGAGAGAAACATGGAGGCGAGAGGGAAACATCAGTTGGCTGCCTTCCGTTCGCACCCCAATAGGGACCAAATCCACCACCCAGGCTTGTGCCCTGACTGGAATCGAACCGGAGACCTTCCAATTTGCAGGACAATGCCCCACCCACTGAGCCGCAGCAGCCAAGGCTTAGAATTCCTTTTGAGGACTGCTTACTTGACCCACTTTGTTACTAAAAAAAGTTAAACGGAGAAAAAACGACCCAGAAGAACAAACCCCAAGCGTGGCCGCTGATAGTGACGGACGCTTCTCTGCGCCTCATGCATTCGTGCCTGTGCGTTGTTTCCTCGCAGGTGAGAAACGAAAACCTGAGCAACACGCTTGTGGAGCTCTCTGCGCAGGTGGGGCAGCTGCAGGCTCGGGAGCAGGCCCTCACCACGATGATAAAGCTGAAGGTAACTCGGGGCGGGGGCCGCCTGCGCTCCCTGGGCGCCTTGTCATTCATGACATCGATCGAGTCGCGTGCTGATCTCACCGACTCCCACGGCGGTGCCACTGGATCATGCTGCTTGTGCGGCTCTCGTCTTTTAATTCTCACTTTAGAAACGAGGGGAGCAAGTTGAAGGCGGAGTCCCCAGGCGCTGGGAGAGGAGAGGGGGTCCACCTTTGGGCCCTGTGCCCGGGGCTCAGCCCGCGGTCGCAGGCACCTGGGCTCCGGCGTTTCTCCCGGGTGACCTGCCGCCAGGCCACTGGCCATCAGGGTGCCTGTTAACGTTTCGTTTCTTTTAACGGAGAGAAAAACTGTTGCCAGTGAAGCAGGTACATATGTGGTCGCTAACACGCCATAAACAGGTTTGACGACTGGCAGGGAGGGCACTGATGTTGGTAGAATGGGACGCTCATGGTCATTCTCATGTGACTTTTCCAGCACATTAATGTTGTGACGTGACCAGGGTAAGTGTTTTTTTGGGGGGAGGGGAGTGCGGGGGCAAGCTTTCTTAAAGAGCAGATAGTTAAAGCTACAGAGTTGTCACCCGTGAAGGGGCGACCAGCTTCGTGGCCCCAGCAGCCACTTTGGCCGCCGTCAGAGCGAGCTCCCTGGCGTGGCCGTGGGTCCCGATGCCAGTGCTGACGGGGGTCGCTGACCAGTGCGTCTGGACTGGCACTTGTGCTCGTGGGCTTGACAGGGCTGCTGGGTGTTTCTGCTGTCGACCGGCTTTGGGAATGTCGGCCTGGCCCTGCCCTTCCCCGCCGCTGCCTGTGGCGGGAGAGGCGCAGACGGTGGGGACGTGGGGGCGCGGTTCTGGAGCGCGCTGTGGGGCCGTGGCGGGAAGCCGCCCGCCAGGAGGGCAGCCGGCTGACCACAGTCCCTCCATGTGCGCGGCGGAGGGAGGGCGCGTTCACCCACCATTGACATTTGTACACTTTTAGGTATTGTTTGAATTGCTTTTCAACCAGCATATACCTTTTTTTGTGATTAAGAAACAATAAGAGGCTCTGATCTGGGTAGGTTTGGGATGAGGCCAGAGCGTCTCATTTTCCCAGCTGAAAGGAAGGGGGTCCCATGGGGCTTCTCCGGCATCCAGAGCCAGAGCCCCTCGGCAGCCGAGCCCTCCCACCAACGCTCGGCTGAGTGCATCGCGGCGTCTGGTTCCAAGCTTTCTCAGAGAGCCGGCTCCGGCGGCTGGGCCTGGCCTGAGTCCGGCTGGCTGGGCCCCTATGGGAGTCCCAGGGTGAACTGGCCGTGCACCTGGGGCAGTTTACCATTGACTCATCTGTCGCACGGGGTAACAACAGTGCCCGCCTCGGAGGTTCCTGTGCAGACGGGATGTATTACACGCGAGAGGCTTAGAGACCTAGCACACACTGACCCCTTAATAATTATAACCTTTTGTATCAATTACCTGGAATTTTACAATCTTATATAACAGTTTTCAAACTCGGCTTCTAGGACAAAGACATCATCGAGGCAGCCAACCACATCGCGGACTGCTCGGGCAAATTCAAGCTGCTGGAGCACGCCTTGCGTGACGCAAAGACGCTGGAGGCCTGTATCATGAAAGAAAAGCAAGACTACAAGCAGAAATTGAAGGCCCTGAAGGTTGAAATCAACAAACTAAAAGGCAAGGAGGAGACAAAAATTTGGGCACTGACCCTGGGAACGCATTTCTTCATCCGGGCTCACTTAATCTTGTGGTTGAGGGCGGGCCTCCTGACGGCTTTAGGTCCTGCCACGAAACGCCGTGGCGCGTGCATGGAATCATGCTGCCGTTTCTGTCTTACCAGGTGAGTGGGAGTTGGGGAGACTGCCTGGTGCATGACCTTTGTTAAATAACCCTGCCCTTGCCGCCTGGTACGTGCTGCGGACACATGCTCTGTAACGGCCGACGACAGCGTCGCGGCGGCCCGCAGCTGTGAGCCTCTGTCACACTCGTGTAGCTGGGGGCCCGCGGGAACCGGCTGACCTCAGAGGGGCCCAGCCGAACGGCTCACGGGCGTGGCGCTGCGCCACCCGCCCCCTCTGCGCACCAGCGGGCATTTTGTGCCCCAGGGAAGGCGGGAGCGTAGGAAAGACGCCGAGACGCAGGAGGGCCGGCCACGCCGCCTCCCACCTCGTGCTGCTGGCCGCAGCACGCCCCGCGGCCCGCCCCGAAGGCAGGCGGTGGAGGGTACCCCGCCTGCGCGTGGGCAGGCGCGGGGGGGGGGGGCGGGGGGGAGACGCGGCGAGCCCTGAGGGAGGAACGGCCACGAACGCCACCAGCGGCTCCAGTGGCTTTGGCGCATGTTTTAGTCCTACAAGTTCCTGTGCAGCCTCCTCCTCTGTTTTCCTTCTCCCGGTCGCTCCACGATCCATTTCTTTTGGAGCAACAGTCCTTGAAGTCCTATAATGAAGCGCAGGGCAGGTATGCCAATTACGCGCGTGCCCTGAGCGTGAATGTGGGTGCGGGCGACGGGTCAGAGGTGAAGTCTGCCCGCAGAGGCTGTGGGGGGACACCCGCGCCCCCGGGCTTTCCCCACTGCGGCAGAGTGAACGGCTGGACGGAGGCGTCGGCATTTTAGGAGTGGCCACCGCATCGGACACGGAGCCGGACCCCCGGTGGAGCGAGCCCCTGAGGGTGGCAGGGCCCTGTGTGGTGGAAGCCGCCCCCCCCCCCCCCGCCCTGGGGAGGGCCTCTCCGGCGCCGGCGACGTCCCCCGCGTTCATCGGGGATCCTTTACGTGGGAGACTCAGCCTGGTTCCCGCGTCGCGCTGACGTGGGGCGCATCGTGGGCCGGTCTCCACCGTGGCTTCAGCTGTAGCCCAGACCGCACGGCGAGCCACCGGGGTGCGACCGGAGCAGCGCGGCGCCTGGGGGCCCGGGTAGGCGTTCGATAAGTAGTTAGTGAACGCTCTCGGTAAGACGCTTCGGATGTTCGTTAGAAACGATTTTGTTAAAGAAAAATGGGGCAATGGATAGTGCACTAGAGAGCGAGGGAAACAGAGTCGCTCAGGCTGGGCGGCCTGGGAAGGCGTCTGCAGAGAGCATTTGAGCGAAGTGCGGCTGACGGGAAGGACCGTCCACGCGGAGGCCCGGAGCCTCCCAGGCGCGAGGAACCCTGGAGGCAGGAGCCGGGTGGGTTAGGAGCAGAACGGGAGGGGGCCATTACTGGAGGGCCTGGGGCCACGAGTCGGGGCGCCGCCCTCCGGGTGGTAGGAGGGCTTCCGACAGGGAGGCTCTCATTTTGGAGAGAGCGCCCGCCGGCCCCGTGGACGGCAGGTGGGGCCCCACGGGGACCGTCGGAGGGCGAGAGCGAAGCTGCTGGGTGCGTGGGCGGTTTGGGCTGTAGAGCCCACGGGCCACACCGTTGCTGGAAAGGGCGCTGAGGGCATGAGGGGTAGTCGGAAGGTGTGTGTCCTTGGAACCGGTGTTTATTGGAGACCTTTTCTTTTTCTTCTATTTATGAAGAGGATCTAAATGAAAAGACAACAGAAAATAATGAACAACGGGAAGAGATCATTCGCCTCAAGCAAGAGAATAGTTGCCTGCAGGATGAATTGGTTTTTACAGGTAAAAATAAAGAACTAGTTTAAGGGACTGGATACGCATATATTTGTATCCTGAACTTCCTACAGTACTGCTGGGGCAGGCTAAAGGAATGATCCCCCTCTCAAAATAGTTTTTCCTTTTTTTTTTTTAAACACCCTTCGAGGGATGGGGAGGGGCCATTGGAGGTTGGCGTCATGGCCCCCCGCCCCCGCCTGCCCTGTGCGGGGAGCCGCCCTCCCCCGGCTTGAGCCTGCGACTGTGCTTTTCACTGCTCGTCATTAAGGAAGAACCTAGGAGCTGAGGAAGGAAGGTTGTTTATACTTTTGCAAACACTCTATAAAAATGAGCAGCTCGACATTTCTCCAGTTTTGCAAAGAGATTACCTGTAATTATTATGGTTGCAAAAATAGCCACATGTTTTTGTGACATCAGTACCACCCTAAAATAATACGGTTGGGGATGAAGTTTTCATGATTTGAAAGCAGGTTTATCAGGAAGGAGTAACCTGGCCCCTCCTGGTAAGCAAAAGCTGCGTCCCCTCCGCCAGCCGTGCCCCTCGCTGTACCCCTCCCTGCCTCGCCCAGGACCTCGGTTCCGACGAGCGAGGGCCCCTCCTTTCCCTGCTCCCAGCTGGGACTCCCTGCTGCGTAGGTCTTGGTAGGTCTTGGTGGCCCGTGCCGGCCAAGGAGGTTTCCAGTGGGCTTCCGTTTTGGTGCATTGTACTAGGAAAATCATAGATTCACAGGTGAAATTCCAGTACAAACTCAATCAACATATTTTTGGTCTACTCACACCTACCATCAATGCCCTGCCTTCTAGGAAGAGAATACACTTCTATAGCTAAAAGGGCAAAGTGCAGTATTTTATTAAAAATGTCTCAGATAATTTGAGTCTCGTGTGGTGGAAAATACATCTTTGTACCACTAGAGGGCGTTATTTCCATTATTAGGATCGCTGCTGTCGCAAAGTAATGTCTTATATTGCTGAAGACAGGGGAGAGAGAGACATCTTACTATATAGTAGCTGTATATGTATATACAGCTATACATACACACATATATACATATACATATCTCTTTATACATCTCTTTATATATGAATATCAGCTTCGGAGCTGAACGCACAGTCCCTGGACCGGCATTCGTGGGCTGGGCGCTCTGCTAAGAAGCCCGTAAGCCCGGAGACGTTGGTGCCGCACAAACGCTGTGACTGAAACGCTGTGGGCGGTCCGGGGAGGGCGACCGCGGGCGGGTCTTTCTTCTTTTTGACTCACCAAGTCTTACGCTTACAGCCTCTTGTTATTTACTAAGTAAAATATTTGGAATTTGTTAGACAGTACTATAACAAACCCATTTTGTGAAGTAATTTTTTTAAGTGTTTGCTAAGCGGATTTCTTAAACATCTTCTGCACTCATTCTGCCGTCTCAGAATAATTTTTGGAAATGAAGAGGTGTGTACTGATATGGCCGATTAAAAATATTTCAATGATTTTTTTTTTCTTCAATAGCAGAGAGAGAGAAAAGGAAAGATGAGCTACTCGATATCGCAAAGTCAAAGCAAGACCGGACGAGCACAGAGCTGCACAGCCTGAGACAGGTACGCCCAGGGGTCCTGCTCTTCCCATCAGGTAGGCAAAGCTTCTCAGCAAACACCAAATTAGGAAAAGAGTGTGTCTGTTGGCGTTGTTTACGGAGCTTTTGGAATCCCAGCCACATTACATGCATCGCGTATTCAGTGTAGCAGAGAGGGTCTCGTGCATGGTAATTAAAGGCCAGGAGACTTATTGTAGGGACACATCTCAGTGCTAATGCAGGAAAAAAATGAAAGCAAAAAGTCGTGCCATGTTTCTCCAGTCACCACCTGATCTGTTTTAGCGTTTGAAAGTACCAAACGGTTGGCTTAGTTTCGTTTTATTGTCACACTTTATATTGATTTACGGCAGATTTATGTAAAACAACAGAGCGATCTCCAGTTTCTTAACTTCAACATGGAAAATTCTCAGGAATTAATACAGATCTGTAACTCAAAGATGGAGGAGCCAAAGGCGCTGGAGTCCAGGTAACCTTGGACGACACTCTCACTGTGGTCTAGTATTTCATTTCATCGTTCAGTCAGTATTTGTTAAGGACTTGCTATGGGCCAGCGCCTACCGCTGTTCCCTGGGTGGTAGGGAATGAATGTGTGTGAGCTAATAATGTTCCTTTTAATCCCGGGTTGTGCTGAGACCTGAGCTGAGAATTTTAGGTATGATCCTAATGCAGCCGCTGGATAGAAGCAACTCATTCAGCGTTCCTTGTGTGTCTCTTGCGTAGAAGGCCTCGAGGTGACATGGAAACAGCAGGGATCAGCCACATGTTCATTCACCCAGTGCTCCCAGTGTCGTAGGCGCTGGGCAGGAGGAGGGCGCGTAAAGATGCGCGGGCCCTGCGCCCTGGGAGAGGGAATGGGGGGTGGGGGCGGGGCAGGGGCACAGCTGCAGGAGGGGCTCAGCTGGCTCAGGGCCGCTTTGCTCTCGCTTGAGTTTCCTGTTCCCCTGTTAATAGGCAGAGGCATTGTCCCTTGGCTAAAATAAGCAGCACGTGAATTCACTGGGTTTCTGCAAAATTAAAGTGGAAATGTGTGAGCTGTGGTCTGACTGAACAGGCACGCAACTGTCCCTCAGTTCACTTGAGTCTCCTTTACGAAGGGGTCATGGGCAGGAGCAGGGCTCAGGGACGTCCCTGCCGCCGCCCGTGACCCCCAAGGCGGCCCAGGTTGATGGCAGCCCCTCGCTGCCCAGGGACAGGCGCAGGAATGGGCTGCGAGGGGCAGGGCTTGGTGCGGACGGTGCCCCAGGACCCCGCACTTCTCGCCCAAGGCCTCTGCTGGGTGTCGTTGCCCCGGCTGGGTCGCGGCCGCAGCAGCCGCTGCCAAGCGCCCGGCCATCCCAGAGCTCGCTTGTGGGCAAAGGCCCCTAACACACTGGCTCTTTCCTTCCTTGACGAAAGAAACGTCCAGACCTGTAGAGATTTTTTTTATGAGTTCATCTGAGCCAAACTGATGACATATGCCAGGGAGCAAGATCTCAAATGCTCCCAAGAGTGGCAGTATCGCAGCTTCTCTTTTACGTTAGAGTCAGAGGAGAAGACGTCGGTGGTAGGCTAAGGGGACGGGGGAAGGTGAGCAGGGCTCTCTGGGACTGGACAGATGGTGAAACAGCTGCTTCTTTCCGGTGGGCGGGGTCAGGACGGTTAATACTTAACATTTGCGGTGCAGAAGGGTGTGCGGGGACCAGGGCAGCAATGAGGGGCTCTGTGGTCTGGTGCCCTGGTGCTGGGGGTGCCTTTCAGGGGCAGGAAGAGCAGCACAAGAAGAGTGGACAGGCTCCCTTAAGGGACAGCGTCCTTGCTAAGGAAGCTGTAGGCCGGGGACATGGCCGCCCGCTGCCACCTGCCCACTGGGAATTTGCGGTCAGGCTGTCCTCTGCGGCTGCTTCTGGCCCCTGAGCTTGTCAGGCTGATGGCATGCTCTTCGCGTTCACACCTTTTTGTTCTTCGTTGCCTCTGGGAGGTGCCCGGGCTAGACGGGCCAGGTGGCTCCTTAGGAGCAGAAAGCAGCTGACGGGGCCCTAGGAGGAGGGGGTGGGTTTTCCGAGGGGTCGGCCCCATACAGGCCAGGACAACTGGATCCATGTGACATGACAAACTTTAAGGGACGCTTTATTAAGATTTGTCGCATGTGTGCTGTGCCCTTCATTTTTATGTTCCGGACCCGTGTCATTCCTACCTTAAGGTCAGCTTTCAGCACACAGCCGCCTAGGCCTCCGGCAGGCGGCCAAGGCTGGCGTGAGCGCAGTTCGGCCGACACGCCAGGCTCTGTCCGCTCAGTCTCTGGGCCTCGACTCTCGGTGGCCTGGCAGTCCTGGCTCCCCCTGTGTTTGCCGTGACACTGACGGAATGAGGGAGGGAAATACCAGATCGGCCACCGCTTAGCGTAGGTTAGAGCCTGTCGCAGGCCCCAGGAGGGGTAATAGGCGGCCTCTGCATATAAAATGTCTATGGAGGAGGCAGGAGACATGTGACTTAGTAAGCGCAGCGGGAGGTGGAGGGAAGGAGGAGGTAACAGTGTGGGCTTGGGGGTCAGAAAGTCTTCCTGAGGGGCGCAGGCAGAAACTGGGCTCCGAAGAGAGCGGATATTCTTCCTTATATTTAATTTCGGACAAGTGGGTCTTACTAGGGTTCAGGTCAACTAATGGGGTTGGGTGAAATATCTAGAATGATAGTATCAAGTGTATCTTATAACTTCCGTTTTTTGTAATGCCACCATAGCAGAGAGATGTATTTAACTGACCTTGAAAATAACCACCCAAAAGTCAACATGAAGAGGGAGAAAAATCAGAAGTTGCTGGCTAAGGACCAAAAATTTGAGACCACGTTGATTCAGCAAAACAGGTCAGACAAGATCTCTTGTGACAGGTGCAGAGAGAGGAAGCTGCAGGTTAACACTTCATTTGCGGAGAAAAGTGTCCTTGCTGTCTCATCCCTATTTACAACAGACTTAATGGAGAAACAAAGGCCTTGGCCTCTGGGTGGAAAACTCCAGACCGAAGCTGAAAACAAAAGTACGTTGTGCAAGATTCATGCCAGATCCCCCAAAGGCAATGGAATTGGGATTCCGGCCGCGGAGGAGAAGCAGCGCTCAGAAGCCTCGGCTTCGCCGGAGGAGAAGCCATGGCAGGAGGTCAGTGTTTACCTGGGCCTGGCCGACTGCCCTGGTCCGAGGCGGCCGGAGAAGCTGGATGCAGAGTGCCAGGCGCACGCGGAGCTCTCCTGCTGCCACAGACGCGAAGCCTGTCTGGGCGAAAGCGACGCGTGTGAGGTCAGGTGCTGCCGCCCAGGCAGTCTCGTCATCGAGGCCCCCGGCCCGATGTCTGACACCGAGTGGATGAGCATCTTCAAGCCTTCCAAGCTGCAGCGGGGTGTCTGCCACAAGTCGGTGTGCACGTGTCCGGAGAGCGCCGGGGGGCCACCGCTCGGCTCCCCTGCCAGGTCAGTGCTGCCCCGCGTTTGCAGGCGCCTGCACGTCGCAGATGGTCCTACCCCGGGCAGCCGGCTTCCTCCTTGCACCGCAGCAAAGGCCGCGGTCCCGTGGGCCGGCCTGGGCTCCAATGGAAAGTCTGAACCCGCCGCCGCTGAGGCAAAGGTTGTGCTTAAAAACAAAGCCGGTTGTCCTGGGAGTTGGGCAAATATGTTTTATGTAAAAACAAACAGGTGGGTCATGTTATGCTGCTCCGGGACATTCCTCACCCTGATAAGCGGCGTCTGTGTGTCCAGACCGAGTGCATTTCGGAGACCCCAGGTGAGAAGCTCTTCCTCCTTCCCTGAGGTTGCCCCTCCCCATTACAGATCCAGCTGCTCTGCCTTCGTGTTCCCTGTGTGTTCCCCACACTTCCTTAAAACCATGCAAGAGAACGAACACCTGTATATAACGGGGTGGCCACGTTGTTGAGGAGAACGTGGACTAGCTGTTAGCACACGCTGCGGAAGCGCATCACGGTTGGAGCGGCTGGGCTTTGCGCTCCGGCGCCTCCGCCGCCTCCAAGCACAGCCCAGCGCCTCCGCCTTAAACTGCAGGAACGCCGAGGTTCTGGTTGGGGGCCTCGTGGTCCTCGCGTCACCTTGACGACTGAGTTTCCTTTCTAATGGTCCCATGATTTGGATGGTCCTCTGGCTCTTTTAGAAGCCTGGGTCATCTAAAAATCGTACATGTAGGGAATCTGTCAGTTGCAAAACTTTTTAAAAATTGGTTGTCACACGCGGTGCTCTCTAGTCACGGGAGGTTTTTAAAGCTCGTCTCTCGATGGCTGTGACTCTGGGATGGGCGCCGCCGCGTGGGCTGCCCCAGCGAATACGAGCACCCAGAGATGATGGGGAAGGCTGTGTCGCGTGGTTTTAAGAGCATAGTGGACGTATATTAAGGCTAATGCACGAAAGAATTCCAAATTTAAATTCAGAGCTTTCTCTCAAGAAAGTCCAACCTCCCTGGCTAGACGTGATCAAAGTGACTTCCGGTCTCGCCAGCCAGAAGCGCGAGCCGACGCCGCGCGCAGGCGTGGGATGCAGGGAGGAGGCGACGCCGCTCTCCTGCTGTTCCCGATCTGCCCCCGCGCTCGCTCTGTGCGCCATTCCATCCGGCAAATAAGTGCGCCCGTGGGAGGCGCCGTGCTGCCCGCGGGCCCATAGGCGCAGGCTGCGCGGCAGGAAGAGGGCCGGGCCCCCTCCTGCGCCAGGACAGCTTCGGCTGCTCACTCTGCGTGGAGCCCACGCTCGGAGCCAGACCCAGGGGCTCAGAGACGGGCGTTTGTTCTCTAAACTGGAGAAGCCAGAGAAGTAACGAGCACAGCGGTGCCCTTCCACGTTCACAAGAGGACTTTTATTTTTTAAAGATGTTATTTACTTTGAGAGAGAAGGGAAGGGAGGGGGAAAGAGAGGGAGAGAAACATCACTTGTCAGAGCTATATTGATCAGTTGCCTCTCGCGCACCCCCAGCTGGGGACCTGGCCTGCAACCCAGGCCTGTGCGCTGACTGGGAATCCAGCCCGCGACCTTTCAGTTTGCGGGCGGGCCCACAACCAGCTGAGCCACGCCAGCCAGGGCACAAGAGGACTTTTAAATACACCATTAACAAAAATAGTCTCACAAACCAAAAAACTAAAATTTTTACCAACTATACTATGTTAATTTTTTCCCTCCATTTTGGTTGATTCCATTTCCCAGTCTTTTCTTTTTTGGGGCGGGGGTGAAAGGAAATTTCTCTATTCCATTGTTACCCTTTAAGAATTTTTTTAGCCCTGGCTGGTGTGGCTCAGTGGATTGAGCACTGGCCTCTGAACCAAAGGGTTGCTGGTTCGATTCCCACTCTGCACAGGCCTGAGTTATGGGCCAGATTCCTAGTAGGGGGCGCCCAAGAGGCAACCACATATTGAAGTTTCTCTCCCTCTCTTTCTCCCTCCTTTCCCCTCTCTCTAAAAATAAATAAATAAAATCGTTTTTAAAAAAGAATTTTGTTTTAATTATTGCAAAGGGTATGCCTTAATTTATAATACTTTACTCAAATGTTCTATTCATAACATTCCACCGAAACTTGAACTTCTTCATTAAAAAAAGAGAAACAACTTATTTTTGTCCTGCTGAGATACTTTGAAGTGTGAGAGCGCTGGTGCTGTGTGTTTGATTCTGTCCTAAGACGCCCGTTTCCCTTTGGCTTTGTCGTTCACAGCGAGCTCGCCGCTCAGCATGCCCAAAGCTGGGGTCCTGCCTTAAGAGAAGACGAGAAGGGGGTGGAGGCAGAGTCCTCTTCTGATAAGAAGAGCTCACCTGAGATTTTGTTAGTGAACAAAGATGCAGCATCGCCCAGTGAAAAGGTTTGTATCTCACTTCCGAATACCCAGCGTGTTCCTGCGAGGCTTCTCCCCGCATGCGTTCCGTCCTTCCCCGGCACTGTTGTTGCCGCGCCTTGTTTTGGTCATGCCTCCGTCCTGTTTCAGCTGTAGAACTTTGTTACAAATGTCCCACCGATCGGCCTTAGGCAAGGTGTCCCTCAGGCTCTGCAGGTGATTAATGTATCAGTTTTTAATTAGTAAATATTTTAAACACACAAAAAAACGTAGAATATAGAAAGCAACTGTGTGCCGACATTCAGATTTAGCATGTTTCCATGTTGCCAAAGTTGCCTTATGTTTCTTGTTAAAGAAATGAAGCGTTACAGATCTGTGTGACCCCGTTCGCCCCAGGCCCGTACCAGCTAACCACTGTTCTGAAGCAGCTTGCGTGCTTGTTTGTATTCTTCTGCTACATGGAAGTATATACTTAAACACTACATAATGTTGTATGTGTGTTTAAAATGTACGTAAATGGGAAAATACTGTGTGTTCTTTTGCAACGTGACTTTTCCAATTTTGTCACTATTTTGTGACGTTTATCCATGCTGACACTGTGGATCTAGTCTTTCCATTTTGATTGTCGATTGGGGTATAGTCTGTTGGTTGACTAACCCACAGGTTGCTTGCCCACACCCCTGAGGGGCGGTGACGCTATTTCCACATTGTCACTGTTGTGGGTGAGTCAGTGTCGTCCTCACAAGGTCTTGATCAAAGCCCTTTCACGGAAGAAAGTAAGTTCAGGTCAACTTGATTGCTTCTGCTGTTACATTGGAAAGCTCTCCGGCTTTGAAATCAAACTGATCTGGGTTCAGATCTGCGTTGTTGCTTTGTCTCAGCTCAGTCACCTTGGGAAGTTATTGAAGGTAATTTCTTTGAGCCTCGGTTTTTTCCAAGAAACTGCAAATACGCAGCAGTAACATCACAGCTGCCTGGTCTAACGAGATGGTGTCCGGCCTGGCTCCTAACGGGAATTGGATGAGTGTGTGTTCTCTTTGTTAAAAATTGGCCATTCCAGGTGTCGCCTAGAGCCTGGAGCAACTGGGACTCTCACTCCCTGATGGTGGGGGTGTGAATGGTACCCCCACTTTGGAAAATGCTTCAGTCATTTCTTAAAAAACTAAATAGGTACCTACCATGTGACCCAGCTGTTGCACTCCTATAGAAGTGAAAATGTATCTCCACATGAAGACTTGTACATGAATATTCAAGCTTTATTTGTAATAGCTAAAAAACTGGAAACAAACCAAGTATGTGTTAATAGATGAATAAACTGCGGCCTAATTATACAATAGAGTACTTCTCAGAAATAAGAAGAAATGACTCTATGCACACACACAATGGGGGTGAATCTCAAGGTAATTGTGCTGAGTGAAAGAAGCCAGACAGACAAACATATGAATGTGTTTGTAAAAAAGTAACTATGCAAACTAATCTCTGGTGACAGAAAGCGCATCAGTAGTCGTCTGGGAACGAGGGGCAGGCCCCCCGGGGCAGGCGTGACCCGTGCATCCCCTGTGCACGGTGCGGGGGTGGCTTCACGGCGCATGCAGGTCAGGACTCGGGCTGCACACTGCAGTTATACAGCCAATTGTATGTCAGTTCTACCTGGAAGCTGTTAATTAATTAAAGCCATGAATATGAGGGGAAATACCACCTGTCACCTTTTTTAGCTTTTGAGAGACTTTTTTTTCAATGTTTACACCTAGTTTTCTGAGGCAGTATGTGACATTGCATGCCCACACTACCCATGCATGTGTATGTATATATATTTGTGTGTCTGTGTAGTCGGTATACATTCATTAGCAGATATTTACTAAGCATCTTTTAAATTCAGGTCAGTAGTAATCATTGTTTATGGAAAATTAGAAATTAGCTTTTCTTAATGAAAAAATTATTCTTGGCGCTTTTGAGAATAGTCGGCATGCTAAAAGTTCAGATACCAAGGTGGAAAATTAAACAAGAACAAACAGGTACATTTCCACATATTTTTAAAAGCTTATAAGCCTTCAGTGTCTTGCATTTTGCACGTATTCCGATATTCTAGCTATGGCTTTGGCAAGTCGACTCAGGAGAACCAAGCGGTGCCTGGGGTTCTTCTGTCACATGGATGTTGCTTAATTACTTGTCGTAAGGTCTGTTTAAATCAAATCATTTAGCCAAGTAGCTCCTAAGAAATAAGTGGAATTTGGTTATTCTAGTATTTACTGTCCTATTTCGATATGTAATAACCTACAAAGAAATATGAACGGACAGTTAACATCTCTGTTTGTTACATCGCATTCACGTGCATGAACATGTGAAGACGCCTCTCGATCTCACGGCCGCTTCCCTTGCGCTGTCTTCCCAGGACGACTTTTCCCCCACAAGCAAGCTCCAGCGCCTGCTGGCGGAGTCCCGGCAGATGGTCACAGACCTGGAGCTGAGCACTCTGCTCCCCATCAGCTGCGAGAGTCTCGGCAGCGCGGCCCGAAAGGTACGTGCTGGCTCTTCTTTTGACCCCACCTGCGTGTCTGGGAGCCTGCATGTGGGCGTCTGTTGCTGGTCACGCAGTGAAAGTTTCTTTATGTCTCGGGGGGAGACAGGTATAGCACCCTGTTTTTTGTTTTTGCTTTTAGCACACTGGTTTTGAGGAAGAAAAAGTCATACTCAAATGGTACTGCCCCCAAACTTCCTCTTTCTAATTACCTGGGCATAGGATTATAAAGTCTTGGGAATTTAAAATAAAACATTTTAGTCCTGGCTGGTGTGGCTGAGTGAGTTGAGTGCCAGCCTGCAAACCAAAAGGTTGTGGGTTCAATTCCCAGTCAGGGTACAGGCCTGTGTTGCAGGTCAATGTTTCTCTCCCTCTTTTTCTCCCTCCCTTTTCCCTCTCTCTAAAAATAAATAAATAAAATCTTTTAAAAAAACATTTTATTATAGAAAACTTCAGATACACAGAGAAGTAGAATGAATAGTACAGCGCAGCCTCCAGCTCTCTGCCGTTTCTGTTTTGTCTCCCCCATCCACACACATTTTATTCTGAAACATTGGAAGCAAATCCTAAATATCACCTCATTTTACTTATTACGTATCTCGAGTAGATAAGGACACCCAACCAAACTAGTAATTATTCTTTTTTTTTTTTTTAAGATTTTATTTATTTACTGTTAAAGAGAGGGGAAGGGAGAGAGAAAGAGAGGGAAAGAAACATCAGTGTGTGGTTGCCTCTCGTGCACCCCCAACTGGGGACCTGGTCCGCAACCCAGGCCTGTGCCCTGACTGGGAATTGAACTAGTGGCCTTTTGGTTCCCAGGTCAGCACCCGATCCACTGAGCCACACTAGCCAGGCAATAATTATTCTTAAATATCATCTAATGACTAGATCATGTTACATTTTCCCCATTTATCTCACAAATGTCTTTTTACTCTTTGTTCTGATTAATATCCAACCAGGGTTTATACTTTGCATGTTGATTTGTCCCTTAAGGTCCCTCTTAACCACGAGCACTTCCTTCTCCCTCCCTTTTCCCTCTTCTTCCTACTGTTTCTTGTCCTTCTCCATTTTTTTCCTAATGCCATTTATTTATGGAGGAAACATTGGGTTGTTTGTCCTGTAGAACTTCCCACATGCTGGCTCTTGCTGGCTCTGTCCCCATTGTGATTTCACACCCGCCCCCGCCCCCCCCCCCAATAAGTCCTGTGAACTGGTATTAAGATCCAGCTGCTTGATTAGACTTGCGATCAGTTTGGGTTTGTATTTGTTTTGGCCCTGCGGCTGCATAGGCCTTGCTGTCTGCTTCCTACCCAACCGGACAGGGAGGGTCGCAGGGGCGGTGCCCTCCAGGCCCCGGCCCCCGCCCCCGCAGGTGTTAGCTCGGTCAGGGGCTCAGAAGGTGGTCAGCCTGAGGTTCGTGTCATCAGGCTCCCCGGAAGGCCACTTGATGATTCCAGCCTTCCTCTGTTGGATTGTTCAGATTGATTATGTCATTAGGATTGTGAAATGGTAATCTTCATTCCTCAGGGAGTGTTTCACAGGCTAATTGTACTGCTTTTTCTGAGCACAGTAACACTTCCACAGCAGTGCTAGAAGCAGTGCTAGATTTTATAGCCTTAGCATAAAAGTGAAGGGAACATTGGACTTGAAATCAGGAGACTTGGGGCCCCATCTCCTAATCTGCAAGGTAAGGGCTTGGAACTGACGCTGTAAATTTGATTCCAGGCACATCACTTGAGTGTGCTATGTACCTAATTAAAGATACAAGCGTTTTAAAGCTCTTGAATTAAACTTTTTTGCCTCTCTGACCAAAAACTAAAATAAAAAAGGTCTGCAAGAACACCGAAATACTTTTCTTTTATAATCAACTTTATCGAGGTACAGCCTACCTTTCTGGACCCTCTGGGCGGTTCCGTGGATCCGGGTATCTCACACCAGTGCCACAGTGTACGGGTTACGCAACTCTGGAAAGGTTGCTGTCACATGGTGTGCGTCCTGCTGGAGGAAAGCCCCAGACGTCAGGATCAGTTCTGAAGAACTGACACGTGAGGGCTCATTCAAATTCATGGGAGCTTTAATGGGAGAGACTCCCCGCGGGCAAAGCAGCTGCTCCCAGGGGTGCCCCCCAGGTACCCCCCTCCTCCCAGGACAGGGCCTCTTCTCATAGGGGTTTAAACCGCTTGGTGGGTAGCCACACAGACCCCCGGGAGGAACAATGCCTCCCTCAGTCGGCGGATTACATCAGGCAGCTGCCACACTCCGTACATTCAGCAGCCTCCTTCCTGGGGGCGTTGTTGTCTTGGGGCGTTTTCTGGGTAGCCGGCCAAGCCCGACGCCACAGAGCGTCCAAAATTTCCCCGACGCCTCTGCACCTAAAGTGAGTTCCCCTACGTATCCTCCGCTTTGTACTCCTTTTGCAAAATTGTTTTGCATCTTCTTTGTCCTTTGCAGACCCACAGCAGTTTTAGAATCAACTTGTCAGTTTTTAAAGCAATGCACTCTAGTGTTGTGATTTCATTGCATCCATAGATCTCTGGGGGGAGACTTGGCATCTGTGAACAGCGTACACGCACCTCCATTTGTTTAGGTCTCCCTTCCTTTCTCTTAACCGTGTTTTGTAGTTTTCACTGTAGGGGTCCTGCACATCTTTTGTTAAATTTATTCCTATTATTTTGTCTGCCGATGCCGTTATTCATGGTATTTTCCTTTGAGATTTTATTTATTTATTGTTTCCTTTTAGAGAGAGGGCAAGGGAGGGAGACAGAAAGGGAAAGAAGCATCCATGTGACAGAGAAACATCGACTGGTTGCCACTCGCCTGTGCCCTATCTGGGGACCGAACCTGCGACCCAGGCCTGTGCCCTGACCGGCAGTCAAACTGACGACTTTTTACCTCGCAGGACGGCCCAGCTCACTGAGCCGCACCTGCCAGGGCTTGCGCTCTATTTTGTTTTACTCTCAAGTTGATTGTTGATGATACAGAGAACTACAAATGACTTGTGTAATTTGCATCTTTTCTAAATTCACCTGTTCTAGTAGATTGTGGATTCTTAGGATTTTCTACCTAGACAATCAGGGAATTTGTGAATAAGAGTTTCTTTTTCTAAGCCTTGTGTCTTCCTTCTTTTTCTGACCTTGGTGCTCTGGCGCAGACCTGGTCGGCGCGGGCAGAAGCAGCGAGAGCATCGCTGCGCCCTGCGCCGGGAAGTGCTCTCTGGCGGCCTTCTTTGCGCAGCTCCTCACGCTGGGGTTTGGTTAGATCCAGGGCTCCCGGGGGCAGTTTCCATGTGACACAGTCGATCTGAGACTCGAACATGCCCCACTTGAGAATCAACACAGTCACTTCCATGAGCTTCAGCAGGTGTTTGCATGCCTGTCAGCTCACACCACACCTCGTATGTTTATGTAAATTTAGAGAGACACTAGAGATCGCACACTGCTTGTGACCGTGAGCGGAGATGTGTCCTGTGCACATCGCGTGTGCCGTTGAAGCTCGTCAGAGCGGAGCCCGAGAGGGGCTTGGTGGTGGCGTCTAGGAAGATTTTTTTCTCAACAAAATTTCTTTGAAACATTCGTGAAGCAGTTTATTTACACGGGGGCAGAAAGGGTTTTTAAGTAATGAGGTTCTGTTTTTCTTAAACAGCTGTTTGAGATACCATGTCCATACCATAAAGCTATCCCCTGCCAGGTGTGCAGCTGAGCGGTTTCAGTGTGTTTACGTGGGTGGGCGACCATCTCCATAGACGACTTTGGGACAGTTTCATCATCCGGCGTTCAGTGCAATCCACCTGGCAGACTCCTGCCCGTCCCGGCCCAGGCCCCGCGCCTCACCTGTCCTCTCGGGCTGACGTCCAGGTCCTAGCGCGGACGCAGTCGGCGCCCTCACCTTGGTCCTCGCAGCCTGGCGGTGTGTGTGGGTGCCCGCCGGCGTGGCCCATCGGAGCGCAGTCCCGGCGCACGGCTGGCGGCATGTCCCCCCGCTCGCCCCCGGCCCCGTTAAAGGGCCCCTCTCGCTGGGCAGGGCATCCTCAGGCCCAATGCCCACGGTCCCGCTACACAGGACGCTCAGCAAATGCCCCGCGTGGAACGGATAGGAAAAGCGGAAGAAAAGGCAAACCAGCGGCCTCAGGTGTAAGTGGAAAAATCACTAGAGCTGTGGGAGATCGGTGAAAACTTGGCTTAAGAGCCCTTTTGAGCTAGAAAGGCCCAGAAGAGATACCTACTCGCAGCCCTTCATTTTACGGGTGAGGAAAAGTGATTAAACCTCTCGCTTAATACCCACATCATTTTGTTGGCAAAAATTTTGGCTCTGGATGTAATATGTTTTCCAGTGGATTATTAACTGATCCTGGACCCGCTGGAAAGACGAGCAAACTGCACTCGGCAGTGAGCTTTGCAGACTCCCCGCTCTGGCCGGTTTAGCAGTTGGGACGCGGGGAAAGGTCTGAGCGGCCCGGCCTTGCCAGGGCTTTGCCATCCGTGGCTAAAGGCAAAGGGCTTCCTTCAGAGCTTTTCTCTGAAACAGTCTCAGCCGTTGCTGGGGGCGGGGAGGAGCACATGGCGAGGGACGCCGCCTGGCAGGGACGGCGGCCTGTGGCCCACGAACCGCAGGGCCGACCCCACTGACACATATGTCTGGTGTCACGCGCTGTGAGTCCTTCATGGCAGCATTGCTTCAGGACAGCAAAGCTAGGGTACTGCCCCGTGTCCAGCGCGGAGGCACCGAGTGAAGAGCCACAGCCCGTCTGCACACTAAGATGTCGCCTCGCCGTGACACAGGACGAGGAAGGTCTTGGCGCAGAAGTGTTTCTGGGGTATATTATTAAGTGAAAAGAAGCAAGGTGCCGTGCCGACATCTTCGCCTGGAATTCTCCACATGTACAAAAGGGGTGGGGATAAAAATATACAAGTATGTGATTTTTATTTTCAAATGATGTCCATGTACTAACTATTGAATAATTCAGAAACAGGAGAAAAGAGAGAGTAGAACACAGCGCCGCTGACCCCGTCCCCTTCTGCCCGAGCCACTCTCTACTGGCCTGCGGTGGGGGACGGGGCACGGCCTGAAACTGGGTAGCGGGTTGTGACTGGCGCACGGGGCTGGATGCCGTTGTCACCGGCCTGGGGCCGTGCGTGTCACCCGCCGGGTGGCCGCACTTTTTCCGTGGCAGCTGGTAAAGCCCATGGATCCCTTTTAGAATCATGCTTTAAAGTGAATAAGGTCAAACCCATCAGGTGGCAAGGTACGTGGGGAGGCTGTTGGAGAAGAGAGGGCGCAGCACGAGCAGAGGCCAGAGGTCTGGGGGCGCGAGGGCAGCCCAGCCTGGCCGGCCCGCGGTGGGGGGAGGCAGCTGGCGCGGCGCACCCCGCACGCCCAATTCCCCGCCTGCGTCTGCCTGTGTCTTTCCAGCTATCACCCTTTCCTTTTTTTTTTTTTTTTAAATAACATCTCCCCAAACACCCAACGGTGCGGACCAAGCCCTCAGCAGGCACTTGAGTGATGAGAGCTCCTAGGGTTGTTGATTGTTACCGGTGCCCAGAACCCCTGTTGGGGGCGCACCGCCGAGCCCTGGCGAAGGCTGCCTCGCAGGCCGCGCTGGGCAGTATCCAGGGCTCAGCCGCAGCGCCCTGGAGAAGCTGACGGCACCCCACCCCACGGAGACTGGGGCCAGCTCGCCGGGGGAGATTAACCTGCCCTTGTGTTGTGTGGGTGGACGGAGGTCGCATGAAATTCCTTCATCGTATTTCATTAATTCCCTGAGGTCTTTTAAAGGCGCTTCTGCTGTATTTGCATATAGTCTTCTTAAGTATTTTCTAGTTTTTCTATCTTGGTCACTGATTTGGGGCTTGTTTTATAGAACCTCGAAGTCTCAGGAGAGTCAGCTCAAAAAACCCCCTCTCAGTAATAGAAGAAAACAAGTCGGCCTCAGTGTTCAGCACTTGTGGGTAAGTCACCTTTGCCTGTCCTGCCTCCTATCTCAGCGGGCATTTAATGAGTAACCGGGGACACTGATAAGACGGGTGGAGGCTGCACGTGTGTTTGACCGGCAGTCCGTTCTCTGCGTTTGACCTATTTATGCGTCCCTTCTAAATTTAATCCAGGTAAAATGTCAATTACTTGTAAGACAAATGGAGATCAAAAAAGCTCTTGTTCTCAATACCTAGAATTTCAAATGCAAGGAAGTGACTACGCAGAGCTTTCAAAACTGACAGTCTGGAAAAAAGTCTTTTCCATGGGGTTTCGAGTTACCGAGCCAGGTGTATTGACCCAGGAAGCACTTTCTTGATTTGTGTTTCCTTCTGTCAAGCCTCCCTTTCACATGCACAGTGCCTTTGGAATCCAGTTTAAGTTAAAAGGTATTAATCATTTTAGGTGGTTTCAATGCAAGCAGAGAACATTTTTAAAAACTCGGTGAAAGCAGAAAGCTTAAGTAGTCCCCTCCCTTCCTCCCTCTCCCCGGCTCCTTGTCTCTCTGTGCTGAGAAATTTTCATATTTATAATATTTTACATGACCTTATGTCGATGAATGTCAGGATGTAGTGAATTTTGCAGAGGCCGCAAGCTCCTAGCACGCAGTCCGGCAGCACCGATTATACTAACTGTGCGCTTCCTCCCCACAGAAGCCGGCTTCTCCTCCCATGGAAGCAGGAAGCAGCCGCGGGCACCTCATCCTTAACCTTGAAAACAAAACGAGGCTTGTAACCCTTCCAGGCAGCATTTCATACCCGAGGGGAGCAGAAACTGAAAGTCAATGTAAACACCTATGTTTGTGTGTTTTCACATAAACCGTTTGCACATGTCAGCAATATTTTTCATGTGTGAGAAATGAGACCTTCTCCTCTGTTGCATATACACAAACTTGACACTGTGCCGAGAGAGAAAAAGACTTCCCTGTCAAGATGCCGACTACACTGAGTACGAGAGGAGCTCTTTACGGTGTGAAACAGAGAACCCCTGTATATAAAATGTTATTTTCACTGCCGGAGTTTTTTAAACCTGTGCATATGTTTAAATTATAACCAGTAGCTTGTCAGAATCAGCTCTGAATATAGGACAAAAGGTATTCTCTTCTCTTGTGGTTTTAGCTCTGGACTCTGCTGTGTAAATAGACATAAAGCGATATGACATCAGCGATTTTTAACTGGCAGTTACCTCCTCTGTCCCCGGCAGTTGAGGGCCGTCTGTCCTGGAGCCCAGCCGAGCCCCTCTTGTCTGGGTCTGTCACCGTCCTGTCTACTGAACACACGACAGCGGCGGAACGATCACGTTTTATGTGCATTTTTAAAAATTATTAAAGCCTAAACCACTTCCGTTTTAACTTGTAATTTAATTTTTTAAAGACTATAATATGTGCCTTTCTGTCCTTCTGAGAATCGATCAGCTTCAGTTAATAAAAAATATTTTTAATAGTAAATCTGTTTGGCTCCTTTTTATTACACAGGAGTAAGTGGGGACGGTTGGTCGCTTGAAACTGAGCGCGCACGTGGACCTCGTCCGTGCCGTCGCCCTGTGTAAGTGCCGCTTTGTCAGGAGGCCTCAGTGCAGCTTCAGAGACGGTTTTCAGGAGCGTGGAGGGGCCACCCAGTCGGCCTTTTTAATTAGGGTGCGGGAAAGAGAAAGTGGGTGCGGTTTGGCCGTGCTCTATATAAAGGCTTGCTTCTTCCCTCTGGCCGGGCTGCTTGGTACTGAGCAAATCCAACAAAGTGACCGTATCTTTGATTCTCAACTATCGCCTGCAGCTGGGAACCTAAAATGCCCCTGCAGGGGCTGACTTTCCCTCTGAGAACCAAAATATTAAAATCTGTCCTCTTTGTGGTACGATACAATTTCTTTCTCATCATGCCAAACGTCAATTTGCCTAGTGAAAAGGGAACCCGGATTAGATGCTAAGGAGGAAAATGTCAGGAACTGAAGGACTTGGAAAGTCAAAAATTATTTTGTGGCTAACATTTTTTTTTAAATTTTGAGAGCACGTTTATGAAAGATGGGGACAGTGAAACAAAGGGAAGGCTTGAGAGAGAAGAGGCAAGGCGCCAGCAGGGGCGTGGACTCAGGAAACAAGGGACAGAGGCAGGGGGCCTTGGGGACAGGGCCGAGCGGCCGCTGCGGGTCGGGGTGGGCCGCCGCTGCCCGCTGCTCTCCTGGCTGCAAGTCTCCTGGGGACCTGCAGGGCTGAGGAGAAAGAAAGCAAAGGCACCCTTTTTTTCCCTTTTCTTTTCGGCTCAAGTTATTTAAATACATGAGCAACTCCATTAAAGAGGAGCAGCCCCAATATGTTTGAAATAGTGGCAAGATAAAACTAGATTTTAGCACTTACCTAAAATATAAGAGGGTATAGTTTATACCCTCTTTATCTTAAGAGGTGACAACTAAATTGTACTATAATTTGCCTGCCCGAAATTACCCCAGCCATCAGAAGAGACTGGTAAAAAGGGTATTTTTAGAGTTTGTGTGAACAAATATTTTCAACAAATAGAAATACCCTAAAAGAAAGAAATCCTGAATCAAAATAATGCATAAATACTAAAAACAGTTTTACCTAAAATGTGCTAATAGGATGCATGGAATTGAGAGGCTTGGTAGGGTAAGGCTGGTCCATTTCAGGAATGTGGCTGAGGTTGGAAACCTCACGTGTGCTGTGGCCACTTGCTCCTGGAGTGTCCTCGGTGGCCGTGGCCTGAGACTCTTTTTCTCTCTATTGAGATACCTGTATCTCAGTGATCGTTTCGAAGTAGTACACCTTAGTTTCTCTTGAGCCACTTGTGAATGATTTTGTTAGTGTCCACTTCAGAAGGGTTCACCCTTGCAGGCCTTAAACAGAATAATCTTAGCCCTGGCTGGCGCGGCTCAGTGGATTGAGCACCAGCCTGCAAAGATTGCCGGTTCGATTCCCAGTCAGGGCACATGCCTGGGTTGTGGACCAGGTCCCTGGTTAGGGACCTGTGAGGCACAACTAATCAATGTTCCTCTGCCTCTCTTTCTCCCTCCCTTCCCCTCTCTCTAGAAATAAATAAATAAAATCTTTTTTTACTTTTTTTAAAAGAATAATCTTAGCGACCACTTCGTAAGAGATAGAGAACAGAATAATAACACTGGGTTAAGAAACCAGACAAGGTAGGAGGTTAAAAACCAGATGGTCCTCGAGAGGAGTATATCACATGAGGAGGGCCCGTTGACCAGTCTTGTGAGGGTGATTCTTGGGTTCTCTGCCAGATGCACGCTTAGCAGAGCCAACAAAAAGGAAGATCGTGTGAGCACACGCAGTAAGTGCTGCTTTGCTGACCACTGCAGAAGACACACAACAGGGAGCAAAGCGTACTCAGTGCTTGTTTTACAGTCCGGCGGGGGAGACAGACCTTAGTCAGATAGTGCAAATAAGTCCTGAAAAACCAGGCAGTGCTGTGAGACACAGCTTTGAGCACGACGAGGGAGTGTAACTGGGGAGGAGGGTTGGGAGAAGGCGTCCCTGAGAACGTGCCATCCGAAGCGAAGGGAGGGGAAGGATGAGCAGGCCAAGAGGAGGAAGAGCATTCCAGACAGTATGTTCAAAGGCCCTGGGGTGGAGGAGTGGGACTCATCTCAGGCCCAAAGGGCCGGATGGCGCAAGATGAACCTGGGTGAGCAGGCGGAGGCCTCACGTGTCAGCAAGGCCATGGGGGGGGGGGGGGGGTTGCGGAACCATCACTTTAATGAGCAATGTAAACCCTACTGTTTACCTCCTTGGATTTTCCTGGAGGCAAGGTCTAATTCCTACCCCAAATGCTTTGTCTTTGTGATGCTCCGGGGGAAGCCTGAACAGCCCTGGAGATACACCAAAGTGGCACGTGCTTCTGTTCGGGCGGGGAGTCTCAGCCCTTCGATCACAGAGCCAGCGCTTCCCAAAAGCGCTGAGAGATGAACCTTGAGCAACCAAGAGCGAGGAAGCTGTGTCCTTGTCTTCTCAGGGACGCGCTTTCAGAACACCAAGCCGAATGTCGAAGCGTGGCAAGCTCTGGGGGTTATGTACTCACTTTTCAACCTTTCATCTCACATGCATTTTAAAATAATTTTTTAAAATTTATTTATTTTTAGAGAGGAGGGAAAGGAGGGAGAAAGAGAGGAAGAGAAGCATTGATGTGAGAGAGAGACACCGATCAGCTGCCTCTCGCATGCGCCCCGTGTGGGGGCCTGGCCTGCATCCCAGGCATGTGCCCCAACTGGGAATTGAACCGGTGACCTTTTGCTTTGTGGGATGACGCCCAACCCCCCGAGCCACACTGGCCAGGGCTCACGCACATTTTGAACTGTGCTATGCGCCAGGCACCCTGCTAGGCACTGAGGGTACAAAACTGAGTGAGAGAGTGGTCCTCGCCCTGCAGCAGAAGAAAATCTTACCTACATGCAGATAAATGCGGATTCATTAGACATGCTTTAGCCCAGTGCTCTGAGGTCCCACCAAATGTTCAGCACACACCTAGCATGGTAATAAACTCTTCATTATTAAAAAGAGTGGCAGTTGGTTGCTAATGTTAAGTCTCTAATGGCAGATGGTCTCAACCCAGAGGGGTTGTTGCCTGGTGTGAAAGAAGATGCTGTGTTAAGGGTGAAGTTCACTGGAGAACGGCGTCTGAGAAACAGTTGGTGTAGAGCCAGCAGCTCCGGATCCTGGTCTTCATTTCACCACAGCTATTGACTGCGGTGCGGAGGGTTAAACCGGAGGTAATACACGCAAAGGGTTCAGCCTGGCGTCCTAGCAAATAATAAGCATTCAATAACTTAGCTATCGTTGTCATTTTTTGGTTATCCTGGTAAAGAAGCCTTCCAGCGGTTGGCTTTAGACCAAGCATGGTGAGTTCCCTGTGGAGTGAGAGCAGAGCCTGTCAAATACTCTTCTCAGGCCCTGGATGTCCGCTCTGGGGCTGGGCAGCAGGACTCAGCACCTTCCAGGGAGGTGGGGAGACCAAGGTCAAGGTGATGAACGCATCGCTTGTCCTCTCCCGGAGAGTCCTTAGTAGCTGTATTGGGTGATTTCACAGCTCTATTCTGGTAGGAAAGTTGAGCGTAACAATAATCGTTGGAGAGCATATACTTGGGAGAACTGTGCTTTAAAAACAAAACAAAAAACTTCAGCCTTGTGACCAAGAAATTAAAAAGCAAAACCAATAAAACAAGGTTTACAAAAGTCCCACGCCACCTCCCGGGGCACCTCTTCGATGCCCTTGGACGGCCCCGCCCTGTCTGCAGGTGGTCCCTGCCCTGCAGGACCGGTCCCCTGGCTGTGCTCAGCCCGCAAGGCGTCCTCATGCGGAGCGGAGCCCGCAGTCTCTACAAACGCACCCCAAAGCCCCGCGTGGGTTACAGCTGCCGTTACGTGAGAGGTGCACAAACGGGGGGCCGCGTAATTGTTTGCATTTTGACACAAATTATTGAGACACTGAAATGGGAAAAAAATGCCATTGGTCAGATCCATTGAGGCCAAGTTTTCTCCAATGAACCAGACCCGGGGCCGGTGTAGACAGGACTTAGCCCGGGATGGTAGGAGGCGTGTGGGAAGGAAATTGGCCTGAGCCCCCTTCGCGGGGAAGGAAGAGGGATGGCCGAGGGAGCGGTCGGCTCGAGCGCCGAGCGACTGCGGGCCTCGGCCGAGCCCGTCGGGCTGGGCGGCGGGACGGGGCGGGACGCGGGGCGGGGCCAATGCGGGGCCAAAAGCCGGGGCTGTGGGCGGGAGGGGCGGGGCGAGCACGGGGGCGGAGCCAGGTGCCCGTTCTAAGAGCCCGGGCTGTGGGCGGGCAGGTCGGGGCGAACGCGGGGGCGGGGCCAGAGCGGGGGCGGGGCCAGGGTCGGGAGCCGCGGCTGCGGGGGGGCGGGGCGGGGCGTGGTGGGGCGGGGCGCGGCGGCCTCGCGGTGCCTAGGCTCGGGCGGCTGGCGGAGGCTCGCTCATTTGCGCGGAGCCGGCTGGGGATCGCAGGCGGCGGCAGGATGAACAGCATCAAGAACGTGCCGGCGCGGGTGCTGAGCCGCAGGCCGGGCCACAGCCTGGAGGCCGAGCGCGAGCAGTTCGACAAGACCCAGGCGAGCAGCGGGGCCGCGGCGGGCGGATGGGTGGGCGGCGCCCTCCTCCTGGTCCCCTCACTCGTGTCCCCTAGGGCCTAGCCTGCGACCGCATCCGGAGCGCTGGGGCCACTTCCCGGCCTCGGCTGCCAGAGCCGCTCCGCGAGCAGGTGAACCGGAAGCGCGCGCCGGCGCCGGGGCCGAGGTGCGGCTGGGGACGGAGGTGGCCCGGGGCCAAGGTGGCCGGAAGCCGAGATGCGGCGGTGGGCTAGGTGGGGTCAAGGTGAGCGCGGGGCCCAGGTGCGCGCCGGCGAGGCCCGACTTGCTTTCTGCGCCTGGGCCGTGCCCGGTTCCCGGCTCCTGCGGACCAGCTCCTGTCCCCTTCTTCCGCGCCTTATAAAAAATGCCCCCACCTCAGGAAAGCAATGCATTCCCTTGAAGGGAACTCCCTGTTTCCTTTTCCCCCGAGCTGTTTTCCAGGGCCGCGCAATATCCTATTACCTGCTGGGCGAAAAGTTTCACGTATGCAGCCAGACTTGTTTGCCCGAGCGCTGGCTCACACAGAAATAGGTTCACACCCCCTTATTAAATACCGGCGCCTGACAGACGGAAACTTCCTCGGCCCCCTTCCTGCACTTCCCACGCGCCTGCATCTCCATCCTGGGAAGGTTATTTTAATCGTGAAACAATGGCGCGGGTGTATATTTGGACATGTGTTCCTGCGGGAACACACGACGGTGTGCTGCTGGTTTTTCTTTTCCTTTTCATTTCCCAAACACTGAGGTGTTCTTAGGCCTGGGGGATGGTAGAGCACGTTTATTTGCCAAAAAAGTCAACCAAGGCCAGGTAGGTAGCTCAGTTGGTTGGAGCGTCGTCCCTGATAGGCCACGGTTGCGTGTGCCATCCTGGGTCAGGGCACATACAAGAATCCGCCAATGAATACAAAAATAGGAGGGACAACAAATTGATTGTCTTTCTCTCTCTTTTTCTCTTTAATATCAATAAACTGGAATTTAAAAAGTCAGCCAAAGCTAAAATAGCCAAAAAAAAAAAAAATCTTACTTTTGAAATAAAGGAAGCGAAAAGGACCGCTGTCACCCCTGTCTGAAGCTGGATGATGACATCTGTGGCTGCCCTGAGCAAGTTCCTTCCCACCTCTCCCCGCAGAGAGCAGTGACTTTTGCGGTTGCTTTCAAAACAAGTTAGTGCATACAGGCGACAACAGCTATCGTTTTGCAATGAGGAAAAACTTGGGGATCTACAACTTTTGTGCTGTGATTAACAATGAAAATGGTAATAAAACCCCTCAGGAGACCAAGGCCCTGTACCTGGCCACAGATGCGTGGGTGTCCCTGTGATTGTCATTCTCTGGCCAACGGTGTTTTTTTAACCCAGATAGCCGATCATAAAAACAAACGTGGCATTTAAAGTCATTAATACATGATCGATTGTGCCAGGAACTGGCGGAAGGATGGGAGAAATTTAATTGGCGGAGAGAATCAGGATGTCGTCAGAAGCTTTATTCATTCCGTTTTGGTTTTTTTTTCTTGTTTTTGAGGCAGTAGAAAGAGGTCTGATCGCTACATAGAGAAGATGGAATATAAAGGGCTAATTTCATTGCTCTAACTCTTGAGTTATTATAAATCAAGGGCAACCTTCTTTAATGTCAAAGAGAAGGAATCTCTGATATAGGTCCACATGTTTTGGTGGTTGGTTTTGTAAACAAGGTGCTTTGTTTGTTTTTGCTTGTTGGTTTTTTTTTTCCCCTCAGGGTCTGAGAGCGTCGCTTATAATAAATACACTTTCTAATGGGGGGAAGTAGCATTTACCCGTTCCCCCATCCTAGGGCCCTTCTTTTCCTTCTGGACAGAGAGTTTGGGCTCAGTGTCTGGCTTTGCTTGTCTTCCAAGGGACTTACTGAGGGATGTAGCAATAAGGTTTTGTGCATGGTTAATATTTAATCAGATCTTTTCCAGAAATATCTAGTGAGCTGCCAGCCAGGTCCCACGGGCGGAAAGGGCCTGGAGAGCCGAGGCTGCCACTTACATGTCTCCCTGGACACAAAACAGCACGTCGCGTCCATGGATGCTCCTTCCCTGTGGAACACACTGCCTGTGTCTTCACGGTGACCACAGCGCCCCATGTTGCAAAGCACCACTTTGGCTTCCCTAGACTTTGCATCCTTTGCATCCTTCGCTTGCTCCACCAGTGTCACCTTTCCTCGCGGGCCCCTGGGTCAGGAACAGGAGGAATGCTTGCATGTTAGCTTTCCTGGCAGGCCACCCGCCCTGTTTAAACAGCAGGAGCGCTCAGGGAGGGTGCCTGGTACTTGGGGCTGCTGTGTGGTGTGTGTGTGTGTAACCCTAGGGGAGTGTCCAGGAAGCTGCTCTGTTTTCCTTGTGACTTTAGTCTCGTTGGTGACAAAACCCGTTTCAAAATGGATGCGAAAAAACACTGATGGTTCTCTGATGTTGCGGTAGTTGGTGCCTGAGCCGGCAGCGCCGCAGACCCCAGCGCACGTGCACTGTGGGCCGGCAGACGGCCTGTGCGAGCCGAAGGGCGTTGTGGTCTCGGGGCGAGCTCCTGCGGCAGGTGGAGCCGAGGGCCGTCTCCGTCCCGGGGCCAGGCGCTCAGCTCCTGCGTCTGCGTCCTCGTCTAACAGTGGAGGAAATTCCGTCCACCTCCCAGGGCTGCTTGAAGGTAGAGGCACGGGGTGGTTAGCTGAATACCAGCCCCTTGAAGATGTGCACGCGCTGATTCCTGGAGCCTCCGAAGACGTTCCAGTCCTTGCTGAGAAAATGCTCATCGGCCGACCTTGGGGTGGAGCTAATAGCCTGGTCAGCCAGGTGGGCCCCGTGCGGTCACCAGGACTTTTAAATGGGGATGAGGGAGACAGGACAGGCTGGCCGTGGAGGCAGAGGAAGAGGGGGCCTCCGGCAGAAGAACGCGGTGTCCTCTAGAAGCTGGAAGAGGCAGGAAGTGGATTCTCCTGCAGAACCCCTAGAGAGAGAGGCTGCCCTGCCAGCACCTTGGCATTCGCTCCATGAGACCCATTTTGGACTTCTGACCACCAGAGCCGTGAGATGCTGTGTGTTGTTTTAAGCCACTGAGTTTGTGGCAATTTGTTATAGCAGTAATAGGTTACTGATACATACAGAATGCAAGACAGGTGGCATAGTGCTCTGCAAACTGTCAGCTAGCCATCTTTCTCCCTTCCTTCCCCACCCCAAAAAAGCTTTAAAACTTAAGAACGATTTCAGACCGTCCACCAGCGAGGAGACTCGCCTTTAAGGCCTGTTGTAGATGAGGACTTGGTGGACAGGAGTCTCGGAAATGCCAAATTCCGGTCTTGCTCTTCCCGTAGCTATGCGTCCCTTTGCTTCTCTGAGCCTCAGTTCCCCCTGCAGCATATGGAAGTAGAGCCCCGAAGCTTCCCCTCAGATCAGCACAAGAGAGGGGCCACGCTTGAGTGTGCCAAGCCCAGCGCAGAGAGGGGAGCGGCCCAGGCGGCCGGGGTGAGGAAGGAGGCGCAGCGGGGGAGCCTGTGGAAACGAGGTCATGGGTCTCACGTCCCCGGTCAGGGACACATCCCCACAGCAGCCCCCGAGGAACCGAAGTCTTGTAGAGATGACCGCTTAATGATTCTAAGGACTCCTAGCCTCCAGTTGCATTGGAACAGCACAGCCCACTGGGAACAGAGCAGGGGCCACGGTCCGACTTCCCGTGTCCTGGAGCCACATCAAGAAGTAAACAGAAACACATTCCTTTTCATCTTATCTTTTCTGTAGCACAGTGTCTCCAGATGTAACCGTTTCGACCTGTGATCACTATAAAAATTAGGAGCGGGATAGTTTACATTCTTTTCCTCCTCCTAAGTCCTTGGAATCCGTGTGCGCTGGACACTCAGCGCATCGGGCTCACGCGCAGGTGCCCCGCAGCCACATCCCGTGCGGGTGGCACAGTGCGGTGGGAGATGCCCGGGGCCGGGGGCGGGTGGGGCGCTTTAAAAAATACCAGTGTCTGGGCGCCTGAGACTTGGAGTGATCTGGTCCCGTTGGAGCCCTGGGCATTGTGTTTGTTTTTACGGTTTCCCTGCCAGGAATTCTTTAGAATCTCATTGTTAAAAGCAGACCACAGGACCCAGACAAGCGCCGGGTCACTTACCTCGAGTTTCTGGTTTGCAGGTTGTCCCCAAGCACACAGCGCTCTTCCCACGCGCTGCCCTCTCCGCCCTGACCCTTCCCTCCACGGGGTCTCCGGGGTCTCCTCGGACGGGCAGGTGGCCCGGCACATGCCCACCCTTGTGCCTTCATTGCCCCTGATAAACGCTGCGGTGCTGTGACACTCTTAATTCCCTGGCCCCTTTCTGGGCCTTGTTTAAATGTTTACTGAAAAGTCCCTGAGTTTGAAAAGAAATCTAAACCATGTGGTGCACAGCTGCCCCACCGCTGTCACGGGGGAGGGGGCAGGTCTGTCTGCTCCCCGCCGCGTCCCCTCGTGTAGGCGTGGCACCTGCCACCTGCCACGGACTGGCTGAGCGGCTGAAGAACAGAGGCAAGCCGAGGCCCCTTTCTGCCAAGGAGAGAGAGGACTCAGCCCTCGGCCTCCCTGGGACACTGCTCCCAAAGCCGGGCAGGAGCCGCTCTCCCCGCCCCCACCCCCTGAGCTCCTCCAGCTGGGGTGGCTCATGGGCGGTGAGCTGTGCCCTGCCGCCTGGTTCTGCCCTCTTGGTGGTGCTCAGGCAGGCAGCTGACTTCCTGAGGTTGGGGCTGCCAGAATCCCCTTTAGCCCCCTGGGTGTCAGGTGACCTCTTGGTGCTGATGGGGAAGGGGGTGGAGCTGCCAGTCCTTCCCCTCCCTCCTCGCGCCTTTGCTGCTCATTCGTCCCATGATGTGTTCATGAGGACTGTTTACTGTGTGTCTGTTGTTTGTTCCTGGTGCCTGGGGGTGTGCTGTGGGCAGAGGAAGGTCATTCTTGCCCCCCAAGAGCCATCGTTCCGCTGGAGGAAGTGGGAGAGGGGC